CTTTTCTTCCTGCTCTTCCTCCCTGCTCTATTCTTAGTTGCTCTCATTATATCAAAGAAGACATTTGGTATTTGTTTTTTAGGGATTGGCTGGCTCACATTAGTAACTTTCATAGTGTCATGTTGGTGAAAATAACATGGCTCAGTATGGTACAGTTCAGATTCATTATAATAATTCCACTCATATATTTATATTAAGGGAATAATTGCAGCAAATCAAAACCAAAATCAAAACAAAAAAACTTATAGTTTTTATTATATTACTGACCATGATAGCTAACAAAATAGAAATTACCTAAATGCCCAAAATAGGAATAGTTTAGCAATAAACTGTGCTACTTCAGTAGAATAAAATGTAATGTATTAGGAATGTTTTTCGAATATCTGGATGTTAATTCACAGTAAGGCAGGGGTTAGGAACACTAGAGAAGAATAGTGTTACCTTAGATTAGGTAGAAAAAAATGAAGGAAAGGGATGTGGGGATAGGAAAGATAGTAGAATGAAACAGACATTGGCACTCATTACTTTATGTATATATGGGACTGCATCACCAATATGATTCTACAATAGATACACTAAGAACAATAAGAAGTTATATCCCATCTATGTATGATATATCAAAGTGCATAAGTGCATTCTGCTATCATGTATGACTAATTAAAACAAATAAAAAATTAATTTAGAAAAGTGAAATTAGGAAAATTCAGAAACATGGAAAATCAGAATATAAAATAGTATAGACATTATGATAACCCTTTATTATTTATACAAGTAAAGGGAACACACAAACATAAAAATAATTGCTGAAGGGTAGTGGGTTTGTACATGTTTTTAAAAATTAATGATATTCTTAATTGTATCACAACAACAAATGTAAAGTTTTGTTTTATTGTCAAAAGAAATCTATGCATCAATTTATTTGCCATAAACATAATCTTTTCCATAAATAAAATTTCATTTAAAATTCTATTTTATTATGCATCTGGTGAAAACCAGATCTAATTTTATAGATAGTAATGAGCCATATTTTCCTATATATTATAGAGTACTATTATTTGGAATTCAGAACCTCTGTAAGCTAAGTCTTCTGTGAGACTGGCTGGTCTTTAGCAAATTACATCAGAGGAACATAAATGAGTCTATAAGACCAGTGCTCCAACATCGGGCCAACTAGTAAGCCACTGACATCCTAAACCCAGTTCACCCTGAAGCCTGAAAATAGTTATATTTCTATCTCTTATTTAAAAATAAAAAATTTGAATAGGAATAAAAGCAAACCACTACAAGAACACATAAAGATTATAATGTATGAAGCTAGGCATGTAGTACATGCTATAATTTGAGGCTGAGGCAGGAGGATTGCAAATTTGAGGCTAGACTCAGCAACTTAGTGAGACCCTGTCTCAAAATAAACAAAAAGGGGTGACGCGGGGGGTAGGGATATGACTCAGTTGTTAAATGCCTCTGGGTTCAATTTATAGCACCAAAAAAAAAAAGATTACAAGATACGAAAGTATAAAGCTGTAAATCATGTTCACCTAATTATCATGTGAACAATAAATTGATTTAATGAAGAATGGAGAAAAAGAAATGTATTGCAAGGATGGTGAGGGTGTGCAGGGAAGGAGTTGGATAGAGTAAGAAAATTAAATCTTCACCCTTCATGGTGAGAAACCAAAATAAAAGTGATACGAGTCAATATCATTTCTTCTCCATCCCTAAATCACGAGAATACTGGAAAAATACAAGCAGAGCATCATCAGATTATGTCAGAGAGATGTCTACATAAAATAACTTCTTTTGTACAGAAGTTTCATCATGGTCTTTGGGATTAGATATTAGATTTGAATCCTATCTCCAACAATTATTAGCTGTGGTGCCTCTGATAAAGTTACTTTTCTTTGCTAATCCTGTATTCCCTCTCTTACCCATGAAAACTCCTGGAAAGGTTTACATGAGATAATATAAATAATATTCTAATGTACACCAGGTACTAGATAAATGCTTAGTAAAGTAGGTTTCTCGCAGGGATATTCTCTATTCCACCATCAAACCACACCATCTGGCCTTTGGAAATGGCAAGAGCTCAACCCTTCTCCATCATCTAGACACAGTCGATCGGCTGTTTGCACCCATGGAAAAAAACCATCATATCAGAATTGAAAGTCCTTCTCTAAGGTATTGGCTTCTTCTCAATCTAAATAAAGTAGAGCAAGTTGAGGAGGAGGCAGAGAACCATATAAACTTCCCTTCTTCATGAAAAAGATCTCCGTGGTCATCTCCCAGGAATTCCCATGCAACCTCCCAGCCCAATGGCATTCCCCTAGAGCTCAGAGAGAACTATTAAAGCTGCAATGTACATGGAACAAGGAGCATCTCTCTCCAGAAAGCACTGACCTTCAACCCTGGCAGACCTCGTCTTCCTCGTGACCCCTAAGAAAAGAAGGAAAGCAGAGACCTCAGAGAAAGAAATACACCATTTCTCACCCAGACACACCTTCCTCTTCCACAAAGGCAGGAGAAATATACTACACCTACCTGAGGGCCAACACTTCCAGTTTTCCCCTGAGGTCCATTGAAACTGGACAGACCCTAGAAAGTAAAAGATAAAGGGAAGATCAGTTAAAATGCCACACGCTTCTGGTTTTCTTCTCTATATCTGTACCATCCAATACAGAAGCCCCTAGCTGTAGGCAGCTATTCAAATTAAGTGAACAAAAATGAAATTTAAAAAAAAAATTAGCTTCTGATTCAACACTGGCCACATTCCAAGTGCTCAGTAATTTCATGTAGCCAGGCTACCATATTGGATCACACAGATAGAGAATATTTCCATGATCTCAGAAAGTTCCATTGACCATCACTCCTCAAGAAGCCAATGACATTATGTTCTCATGTTTCAAACATCAATGTTGTGGACAAATTCCCCACAGATTTAGTAGTCTTTCTCCACAGACTCTTCCTTTAATGACTCCTCATGGTTCACCATGCTGGGACAGCAGTCATACACATTCTTCAACATGCTTAGTATAGGAAAATACTGGCCCATCCCTTTCTTTTTTTTTTTTTAAAGAGAGAGTGAGAGAGGAGAGAGAGAGAGAGAGAGAGAGAGAGAGAGAGAGAGAGAGAATTTTTTTTAATATTTATTTTTTAGTTCTCGGCAGACACAACATCTTTGTTGGTATGTGGTGCTGAGGATTGAACCCGGGCCGCACGCATGCCAGGCGAGCGCGCTACCGCTTGAGCCACATCCCTAGCCCTGGCCCATCCCTTTCTACCCAGGTCTTATCGGGCATGTCTTGAATGGCAGATAGAAGCAGAAGATAGAAGGATATGTCTCTGCGCATGGAGAGATCAGTGTATAGGCGATGAAAGAAAGCAAGGTTTCACAACCACGATGAGGAAACCTCTTTGGAGTAGAAGTCGGGAATGAGTAGTAGTATCCAGAAGGAATGATCCCTCTTTCAGGAGAAATGGAAACCCCATGGGATCCCAAGAAGGGATATTTCAGATAATTATTCAGTGAGGCTACATGCTAAGTCAAGTGGAATACATAAGTGGAGAAAGAATATGAAGTTTCAAAAATAAAAAATGTCTTGTGAAAATTTGTTCATTCCAACTGTCATTTATAGCACATTAATTCTGAGATAATTTAAATATTCCCCAATATGAGGGAAATGCTAATCAAGTCATGACAGAAACACTTTTCACCTGAAGTTTATAAAGAATATATATATATATATATATATATACACACACACACACACACACACACACACACACACACACACACACAATATAAACACAAAGGGAAAAGGGGGGAAATTCAACATGGAGGCTGCCTCTGATAAGAATCAGAGGGTATATCTGAGTAGACCAGTTATATAGGTCAAATTTTACTTAAACTCAGTGATGGGTTGATAAAAGCTTGTGTTTATGATAGTATTCACTACATCTTTTCCAGTGTCTTGGATATTTCATGATATATTTTTTAAGATTTTAAAAAAGTATTGATTTTAGTTTAAGATGACGTGCTGATATGCACATTACAAGGGTTTCCAAAAGTTCAGATTGTAGCATCGTGAAGAGGAAAACATCTGAATGATTAACCACAGTGCTCACTTGTCTACTCAGCCATATTATGGGYTTTGGGTTGCAGGATTTATCTGTATAGCTCTTCTATTCAGAGTCGCATTTCTAAGACAGCTGACTTCTTGTCATTGTACTTGTTAGAGTTCTAATGTTTATCTTGAAATACTGTGTTTGTCGAAAAAAATTAAATATGTCATGATAAAAAATGCACAAGGCATGCAAATGAAAAAGCACAAAATTAAAAAGCAAATCTTCCTTCTCCCAAGGCAGCCTGAGAAGAGAATGCGTCTCATAAAATCCCCCCCAAAAAAAATCTGTGCTTACAGGTAGACATAAATATACTGTTTTGTAAACTCAAGCAGGAGCATACTATAAACACTGTCATACATTTTTATTTTTTACTCAGTTTTTTTTCTTGAAGATCTTTAAGATCAGCAGAAATAGGTGTATCTGACTTTTTTAAAAAAGTGTATAAAGTAAAAAAAAAGTATATAAAGTAGAAAGTTTGTACTATGATGTTGTTCTTCTAAAATTTGCAAAGTTATGTGAGAGAATAATTTGTCCCAAATATATAAAAAGAAAAAAATGATAAGTCCCCATTTTTAAAAATATTACACTAGGGGCTGGGGATGTGGCTCAAGCGGTAGTGTGCTCGCCTGGCATGCGTGCAGCCCAGGTTCGATCCTCAGCACCACATACAAACAAAGATGTTGTGTCCGCCAAAAACTAAAAAATAAATATTAAAAAATTCTCTCTCTCTCTTTAAAAAAAAAATATTACACAAGAACATTTTGTAACAAGCCCATGGGACACTTTTCTGACTTTCTCTAGAAGAGAGATTGCTATCGTATGTTAGAAAAGTTCAATAAAATAATGGTCTCCTTGGCTACTGGAACTATGGATCATTTTTCCTCTACATTTTACTTTATATTCCCAAATTTCTGTAGTAAATGTTACTTTTATGGGGTTTTTTTTTCCAAAGTAGGAGGTAGACGAGAGGAGGCTATAAATAAAGCCTTCTCACAATAGATCTAGATGTAATAAAGATTCTTTCTTAAAAGATTAATCATTCTCTCACTTCAGTAGTAAATAGCATTTTGTAGCCAACACAGTAAAAGAATTATCTGGGCAGATGCTGGAGCCATTGGGTAAAAGATTGTTGGGAAATAGGAAATTTATAGTCTCAGAGTTATCATTCCCATTCGAAGAAAGGAAAAGCACACTTGCCGTGGAGAAATCTGGTGAACATAATCCAGTGTTCGAACTTAATGTCACCAATATGACCCAAATCAACACAGTATCCCTGCCCATCATTAATAAATGTACAGCAGCACTAAGTCTCTGCCAAAAATGCTTAGCCTGACTGTAGTTATGGAGAAACCATCAGATGAATCCTAACTGAGATAAATTTAGCCAAATAACTAGTCTGGAATGTCAGTGTCACAAATAACTGGGCCACTGATGTGATTGAAAGATACCAAAGAGGCAAGACACCTGAAACAACTGCTTAATCCTCAGCTACACACTGGAACAACAACAACAAAAAAAAAAAAACAGGCATAAAGAACATCATTGGGTGTTATGGATCAAGTATTTATGACTCTTCTCAAAAAAACTCATTATGAAATCTTGACCCCCAAAGTGAAGACAGTAGGAAAGGTATGTCAGTTGGTCATAAGGGTGGAGCCCTCCTGAATGGGATTAGTGCCCTTACAAAAGAGGCCTGAAGGAGCACCCTGTCTTTCCTCCATGTGAGACCATAGCCAAAATACTTATTTAAGAACCAGGAAATGGGCCTTCACCAGATACCAAATCTTCAGTGCTTTGGTCTTAGAATTCCCAACCTCCAGAACTGTGAAAAATGCATGCTATTTAGGGTACCCAGACTACTGCATTCTGTTATAGTGACCCAAACTAAGACATGGGACAAGTATAGAAATTTGATTACAGACTGTGTATAGAAAACAATGTTGTACAAATATTGTTTCTCGAGAGTGATAATTATATTGTACTAATATAGAATGATGTCCTTTTTCTAAGAATACACTTGAGCATATAGATATACACATACATGCATTTGTATAAAGAGATATAAAGCAAATATAGTAACAATGGGGTTCATTCTTGCAACTAAAATTTATTTTTCATAGATTTGAAATTTTTCAAAATTAGAAGTTAGGGTAAAAAGAAATGCATAATTTCTAATGATATGGAAGTTTTCTACAAATTTGAACTCACATTGAATAGTGTTTTATAAATCTACCGTTTTTATTTAATGTTGCAACATGGTGTTTTCCATGTCAAGAAATAGTGTTCTATATTATTTTTCACTGCCTAGAAATATTCCATTGTGCAGAAGCACCAGGATGCATATAAGCATATTATTAGACATTTGAATATTTTCAATTTTTTACTATTTTAAAAATCACCGCAGTGATCACCCTTGCTTGCTAAATCTGTTTTGGTTCATGATTAGCTTCTAGGTAAAGTGCTAGGCCTAGAAAGGCTAGAAATTAAGCTGTGGCAGACACAGTGGGGCCTACACAATAGCCTCTCCCTTTTCCCTCCTTAATATGAAAATCTGTTGTGTTTGGAACAACAATATACCCAACTCCGAGGCTGTAGATACAGTTCAGTAGTAAAGCACTTACCTACCATGCATGAGGCCCTGAGTTCAATCCTCAGGACAAAAAAAAAAAAAAAAAATCTCCAATGGGTGAGAATAGATCTAAGTGAGAATAGAACTAAGCCAATCATGGTGATCACATTTCCTTTATTCAGAGATTTGCTTTCTCTGAATCCCTTGAAATTGGGCAGTTATGGCTAATGAGCTTATTAAAAAATATTGCTGAAAACACCCAGATGAAAGGAAAGTCCCTTTCCTCCTGACATTTTATATAAAAGTAAAGACAAAATGCTCAAAGCTGCCAGGCCTACAGACATATGCTGACATACTGAGGAGGGAGAGTGGAAAGAAAGGGACTGTATCCCTGACAAATCACTGAGTCTCAATGGTATCATTGAGATGGTGTGTCAAATCTGAAATCACCTAAACTTGGGTTTCAAACATATTTACTACTTAATACTACTAGACAAATTTTCCAAGAGACATATATATAATAAATAAATAAATATATGTCTTATATATGCATATATAATATGTATTATACATATATATGTATATTTTTTTAAACAGCAATGCTAACTGATTTATTTGCCTATTGCCTTTCCAAAAGGTTAAGCTGGTTTTCATTCTCCCCAGAAGTGTTTATTTCACACTCCTGACTGACATGACTGATTCCCTGATACTAAATATATAATAAAGTTTCTCCTTGTTGGAATGACTGCTTTACCCATCCAAATTGTAACATTGAATCTGTTCTTAGGTTCATCTCAGAAATAATTCCAAGGGAAGACTGCCCCCTAGAGGTCCATCTTCTGATAGTACTTAGGCTAGAATGTCAGTATCCACAGCTGCAGGCTTATGTAACTGGTGGGAGTTACTTCTGTTATCCAAGTCTATTCAAAGGAGTTAGTTAGCACCCTTCTTTGAGCACAGCATGGGAGCAGAAGCCATGAGATACAAACTCAATATGGCATTGCCTCAGAGGATTACAATTTCCCTGTACACACACAATTCAGGGCTGACATTCAAAGTTAACCCTTGTCTAAAATCAGGAAGGGAGGCATCTGAAAGCTGTGAGCATGTGTATCGATAGTACTGTGGCAGGCAGAGCACTGGACAGTTTGTCTATAGGCTTGGGTTTCTCCCCAGCAGTAAATCTTGAGCCAACCATAGAACAAGCTCATCTTATGCTCAGATCACAATCTTTCTTCCCATGACCACCTCTAACTCATGGAAATCAATCTCCATTCTTCCCATCTTACAGATGGGCACCAGATGGGTTGCTTCCCTACTGTCTCCTTAGCCCAATCCTGTCGATAATTGAGTGTCCCTTCACAGAGCTCTCTGGTCACAACACCAAAGGGAACATTCTCAATAGGGTCTGTTCAAAACAACTGTAAATAATGACAGGATGAAATATTCTTATAGCCAACTCCCGGTGGTTTTCTCACATAGCTCCGTAATAATGACCTTGTTACAAACTGAATTTAATTTAGGATCTGGACATATATAACATGGATGCAATCTAGCCACAATCTAGGAAGGAGAGTCAATGTCCTACAGTTTTGTTAAAGGATGCAGAACTGGGGTTGGAACAAAATAGAGGTTCCTAGGCTCTTTTCTAGTTGCAAATATTGTGCTATGCAGACCTCATTCCTGGAAATTAGGAATGGTGAAATGTGAGGACTGAAGCACTTGGATTTATTTTAGTCATTCTTCAGAATCATGCATTTTAATGTCTGGGACATAAAAATCTAAAATTGGCTTCCAAGAAATTAGCATCTGTCAAGTTAACAAGTCTTTTTTCTTCTGTGATGTCTTCTATCACAGTGCTTCTAGTCTTTAGAGCTAGACAAAGATCTCCTCTTTTAAAAAATGGCTAGTACCCACTACACATCAATCAGCTCTGACTACAAAGAAAAGCAAGCCAGTGACATGATAATTGCAAGCATCTTTTAAATTTTATAATTGGAAAATTTTTAAAGTGGAAGAATCCTAGGCATCCTTGAGTCAGATGCTTTCATTTGCTAATGAGGAAACCAAGAACAAAAAAGGTAAAATAACTTGTAAAGTATTACTAATGTTGTGGGAGATAGTTTTTTTTTTCTCCCCTGTACAAATTCTAAGACAAGAACGCAAGGACAAGATGTAAGCAGAGATAACCAGTCAGGACTCCTGTGTCCATGGACGATGGAATCCCACAGGTTTGTTCCCTGGCTTGCTCAGTAGAATGCCCAGATTTCTACACCAGAAGAATCTGTTCCCATGCATACCAGTCCCCCAAAATAAACAGAGGTCATCTTACCTGATGCCCACGCCTTCCTTTTTCCCCCTTAGGTCCTTGAATGTGACTATCAGTTCCAGGATCCCCCTGAGAAAATAAAATGTCGCTTATTTAAATGGACAACAACCAAATTTAAAAAAAAAAATATTATAGGAAAAATTCCTTTAAAAGACAACAAAACACACACACACACATACACACACCAACCAAAGTGGATTCTTTTTATTGTCCAGACCCATCCAGTGATCCCAGATACCTGGTACAATTAAAATTCCAACCTATTTATGAACCCAAATGTTCTGTGAGACGGGTTTTACTCTCAAATCTCTCGTTTGTTGCAGTGCAGTAAAGACAGACTGAACAGATGCCTCATTAATGAATAATAAATGGCTCTTCACCTTGTGCCACAAGCAAACATTTCTCAAGTCCCTGGAATTAAAGCAGAAGAAATCCCCCAATCTTTACTCACAGGATCTCCTCTTAACCCAGGCTCTCCACGCTCTCCAGGTTGTCCTGGTAGTCCTGTCAAGCCCTTAAATCACAAAGAAAAAAAAAATGTATCACTTTTCAAAATCTCTTGTTGCCTAAAAAGAAAGGAACTCTAAGAGGAAAAAAGAAAAATCAAGCTCAAAGAGCAACTTGGTACTTGAACTTGAAAGCATTCACTGTGGAAAAGGCAAGGTCAAGAAGTAGGAAAAGTGTTTTGTTGGAACCCTTCCATATGATCAGCCTTAGGTGTGCTTCACCTCACTTCTTAGGAATTAACCCACTTGCATATGAGGGACTTGAGGCTCTGGGAAGCTGGACTCATAACTCCCTAATATCAAATTTCTTGATTTTTTTTTTTTACTAATTCCTGATTCTCTCTGCAGAAACACACATAAAAAAGGGGGAAGGGGGAGTTTTCTCCATCATGGATGCAGGCAGGATTAATAGAGTAAGACCTCATGGGGAAAAAAATAAATAAAAGGAGAAAGAGAATGATGTTTTCAGAGTGGGCATACAAAAGGAACATTGGGGGGGGGAGGAGTAATACAATCTGACTTAATTGGGATTAGAGAAGAGAGTGGTTGAACAGCCTTGGATGTAAGGCTAAATCATCAGTGACAGGGAGCCATGAAAAACTTGTGAGCTAGACAGTGACACAATTATGGCTCTAAAGCACAAAAAGTGAAGTCCCTGGATTTAGATTCCCCTTTTCACTATCAGCAGAGTCAGGTCCTAAGTAAACATTCCAAACAGTCATCTAACATTCATTGTCCTTTAACCCTCCATCTAGTCACTAAACCACTAAATGATTCTTTCCCACAGCTTAAAAATAAATTGTTGATGTCAGTTTACCCAGTAGAAATGAGAACAGAATGCCCTCATACATTACCCAATTTCCCCTGTTTCCTTTTTCTCCAGATGATCCTGGGACTCCACGATCACCCTAGGAAAAGAAAAAGAAATATATAAAGAATCTTGGGGGCTGGGGATGTGGCTCAGCGGTAGCGCACTCGCCTGGCATGCGTGCGGCCCGGGTTTGATCCTCAGCACCACATACCAACAAAGATGTTGTGTCCGCCAAGAACTATAAAATAAATATTAAAAATTCTCTCTCTCTCTCTCTCTCTCTCTCTCTCTCTCTCTCTCTCTCTCCTCTCTCACTCTCTCTTAAAAAAAAAAAAAAAGAATCTTGGGCTGGGGATGTGGCTCAAGAGGTAGCATGATGGCCTGGCATGCGCGGGGCGCTGGGTTCAATCCTCAGCACCACATAAAAATAAAATAAAGATGTTGAGTCCGAAAACTAAAAATATTTTTAAAAAAAGAATCTGTATTCTATTAGTCATTCCAGAAAATTCTTTCGGGTAGTCTCACATTTTTAACCAAGAACAGGAAATTACTTTATCACAACAGAGTGACAGACTAGATCCTTTGAACAACCTTCCCCAAAAAAACAACCGCAAATTCCAGATAAATTAAAAGATATTTTAGATACATTAATAAGACAATAAAGAAAAAAGAGAAATCCTTTGTTCAGAATAAAGACAAAGCAGGATCCAGAGAGAGAAAAGCTCTTGGTTAAGAACTTATTGTGATGTGCGTGTGTGTGTGTGTGTGTGTGTGTGTGTGTGTGTGTGTGTTTTCAAGAGAGAAAGAGACAGAGAGGAGAAAGACCTCAGGCTGACAATTTATGTTACTGGCCCCGGAACTAGTGCCACTAGGAATGTGGCTGAAGCAAACAACATCAACTCAGGTTTTAATGACTTCTTAAAGATAAAGTTCCATCAAAACTGGGTGTTAATCAAAAGTCACAACACACAGGAGGGACACACCATGACGGAGAAGCCAGCAGAAACAACACATAATAGAATCAGACCCACATTGACTACAGATATTGGAATTATCATATACAGAATATAAAATAAGTGTATTCAAACTTCCAATTAGACTGTTAGGTCGGTGGCGGCGACTTGGTGACGACTTAGTGGCAACTTAGAACAAAGCAGCCCGCGCCGAAAAAGAACATCAATCAGATGCCAGTGGAAACGCCTGTCAATCACCCAGATCTCCTGACTAACGCCTGTCAATCAGCAGGACCCCCTGGTCAATCCTGGAGTTCAGCCAACTCCCCTGACCAACTTCAAGGGGGCAAGGGACCCTAGAAACACCTTTTCCTGTCCCAAGCCCTTCCCTTCCTGCTGTAAGCCCCATAGAAGTCCAGTCCGGTCGAGCTTCCACACTGTTTCTCCTCAGACCCTTCTCCTGTCCCCTCTGTGGGTCTGATAGAGTTCCTCCCGGGAGTGATATCTCAATAAAGCCTGTTCAGCGGCCCTTTTAAATCTGCCTCCTTTGGCCATTGCCTGCCCCGACTGATCTGACATAGACTTCTATAAAAAAGATAATAGAGAAAATAGGTGCTCTACTTTGGATGTTGAATGTCCCCTGAAAGACCCACATGTTTAGGTTTGGTGCCAGAGTGGCAGTGTTGTGAAAAGCTATGGACCTTTAAGAGGTGGAGCCTAGTGGGAGGCTGTTAGGTCACTGAATGAAATTGTGGGATCCTGGATCTTTCCTCTTCTTCTTTTCCTTTGGCTTCCCGGCCATGCGTCCACCACATGCTCCCCACCATTACTTTCCAGCACCCCCAGCAGGGGCCTAAAATTAAGGGGTCCTCCCAATCATAGACTGAACCTCTAGAGCCATAAGCCAAAATTAACCTTTAATCTTTATAAATTAATTATCTCAGATATTTTTATAATGATGAAAAGTTGGCTAACACAATAGGAAAGATAAAGATTTCCATATGATGATCTTCTAAGGATTTTCTAAGACATAAATACTCAGATTCAACAGCCAAACAAGTCCCAAGCAGAATAAATAAAAGGAAATCCACACCTAGACACATCATACTGAAACTGTCAAAAAGGAAAAACAAAGTGAAATTTTTAAAGCAGCCTGATACGTATTTTTATACACTGCTTACAAAGGAATAATTACTTTGAAATATAACTTCTTAACAGCAATAATGGAAGATACAAGACAATAAAAGCCAGGAGTCTAGAAAGTTATATTTTCAAAGGGCTGAAAGAAGGTAACTATGAACAGTGAATTATTTATCCAATGAGCTATCTTTCAAGAAAAAGAGTAAAATAAAAATATTTCCAGGAAAAATAAAAACCAAGGGAGTTTACAATGAATCACCCTTCATTAAAGGAAATTCTAGGAGTTCTACCTTAGGCAAAAGAATCATGGTGTTTTCATGTTCTTTTGAAGGCATCAACATACTGACAGAAAGGCTTTGATGATACTAGTAAATATGAGGATAAAGCTAGATAAGTACTGGCTATATAGAATAATAATAATAACAATGTCTAATCGACAGGATCTAACAAAAATAAGATGTGATGATCTTCTAAGGATTTTCTGACATACTCAGAAATAAAATACCAAATAATTTAAGAAATAAAATACCAAATAATTAATATGTGATATCAGAGGAGGGTAAAGTTAGGTTTTTGGATCCTTGTATATTGGAGATAAGAATAAATAACATGTGAACTTAACCACTGTTGAGTATACACATCAAAATCTCTAGACAATCAGGAAAAGCTATGCTCACTATACGAGTATAAATGCCAGACTAGTCAAGGGGAAAACAAACTGAAATACTTCCATACCTGTTCTCCATCCAAGCCATGAACACCTTCCTCACCAGCGTCACCCTGTGGAGCAAAGGAAGATCAGAGTTAGACACAAGAGAAACAGGGGTACGTGAATATTTCTTTGATGTTAACTTCCTTACTAACTTATTTTCCAGTTGATAGAAGAATCTAGACCTTCTGAAACAACAGTTACATAGGCATGCAATATTTAAAGGTGATTTTGGGCTGAGGTTGTGGCTCAGTGGTAGAGTACTTGCCTCACATACGTGAGGCACTGGGTTCAATCCTCAGTACTGCATATAAATAAATAAATTAAATAAAGGTCCATCAACAACAACAAAAAATAGCAAGGCTTGAACACAATAATATGTCATTGCCTCAAAACTGAAATACTTGTCTTACAAACAGTCAATAGTCACTTATTAGCATGGTGGTTCAGATATTAATAAGATCTGGCCCCATTCTCTTGTCTAAAATTTAAAAGCCTCACCCCAACAAGCAAAGGAAAAGGGCTTGGAATCAGTATTGTGTTTCCCAAAGAGACTGCTATCCAGTTTTAGAAGAGTAGAGACGGTTACCTACCTTCTCTCCTGAAAATCCTCTTGCTCCCTAAAATTAAGAAGAAATAAGAATAATTGAGCTGAAGAAATAAGAATAAATTTCCTTTGGAGATACGTGTGTGTGTGTGTGTGTGTGTGTGTGTGTGCATGTGTGTCTCCAAAGGAAATTAAATCAGCATGCCAAAGAAATACTTGCATGCCCATGTTTATTGCAGCATTATTCAAATAGCTAAGATATGGAATCAACCTAGGTGCCCATCAATTGATAAAGAAAATGTGGTGAATATATACAATGCAATATTATTCAGCCATAAAGAAGAAAGAAATCCTGTCATTTGCAGCAAAGTGAATGGAACGGGAGGGCATTAAGTAAAATAAGCCAGACACAGAAAGGCAAGTACCATATGTTTTCTCTTATATGTGGATGTTTAGAAAAAAAAAATGACCTGAATGTAGAATAGTGATTACTAGAGGTTGGGTGCCGCAGTTCGGCTGCAGCAAAATAACCAGGGGGTGATGAGCAACTTGTGTACATTAATACAGCAGGAGTGGGAGCCATTTATTGTAGGACAGGAGGGGTATTTATACATTCCACACAGCTTATCTAATTAACATAAACTAGATACAGCAGTCAACCAATAAGGAATCTCCACACTTAATGGCTYGCTGGCRYYACYYCAYAAACCACTCCCYCTGGCAAAATGCCAGGCGCCATCCTGACTTGTTTACAGACTCTAACAGTTGGGAAGGCTGCAGGGCTGGGGAAATGGAAAATGGGGGAGGCTGGATTCGATTAGTGCACAGAGTATGTACATATGGAAAAATCACACTGAACCCCACTAACAGATACATTTAATACATGTTAATCAAAAATCAAATAGGGCTGAGGACATAACTCAGTGGCAGAGAGCTGGTCAATCCCCTGTACTGCAAAATAAAATAAAAAGAATTTGGCTTGATGGGGCTGGGGTTATAGCTCAGTTGGTAGAAGAATTTGGCTTGAATGAGATTTTTGAAACTTTGTTTCATTTAGGAAGCCATGTTGCCTGATTTGAAGAAAATATATGTATTAGATCAAAATGAAGATTAGATCAAAATGACAAGGCTTTCCTTGTCCAGCAAATGTGATGGGTTTCACAGCTCTCTGATTACTACAACCCTCCTTTTCCTGTGACCTGGAGAAAACCACCTTGCCACTCCTCACAGAGTAGGCAAAATAGCAGCAACCTGCCACTTATTTTTGTAAAGATTTTTTTTTTTCAAATGAAAGTGAGAATACACTGATTAGCAAGAGTGGGAAGACTTCAAGGAACAACAGGGCAAAGTAACTGGAAAGGTAACTTGTTAGAATATACAGGACATGGTCATTGTGATCAAGAAAACCCTAAGACTTTTATGTTGAATACATTCTACTGTCGTGTATAAGCAAAAAAAGAACAAATAAAATTTTTCAAAAGACTTTACGTTGTAGAAATTTTTTTTTCTTACCTTATCAAAAGAGATTCTCCAATAATGAAAGATTGAGGCACCTGGAATGCAATCACTCAAAATGGTGCCCCACCTGTATCCCCTTAGCCTTTAAAATCTCAGTATTCTTGAACCTGCCTTCCAATTACAAGCATTCTTGGCTCTTTTGCTGAGGTTTTTTTTCCTGGGACTTAAAACCTGCTTTGCCTACATGCAGGACAGGCCAAAGAGCTGGGGGAATTAAGGCCTCCTAGCATCAGCCCTCGATAATGCCTGATAGGATGTGGTTTACAAAAACCCAGCGACTTCACCCTACAAATGGGAAAACATCGAGGTGCATGTTCAACACTGGCTGCCAGAGTCCCTAGGAAGGAGTGATCTGCATCTGCCCACAGCAGTGATCTGCTAATACATCGTTTGAGGTCACATTCACCCTCCATATCTTATTCACTTCCTTACTCCTCTGCTACTGTTTGCTAGGATCATCTCCCAGTAAGCTGTGTGCAGTTGATTCCTTTTCTGAGGCTTTACTTCTGGGAAGCCTTCAGTCTAAAGAGAAGCTAAGCCTTCATAATTATACTGAAGAATGAAGATTTTTCTTGAACTCAAAGGTTGAAACAAAGAAAGGGAAAGAATCCTGCAGCTTGAGGTCACACTCACCTTAGGTCCCCTCACACCCATGCATCCTTCCTCACCTCGAGGTCCAGGAAGACCCCGGGGGCCTCTTTCTCCCTGTGAAGACAGATACATGTGGAGACCATCAAGAAACTGCCTCTGTGACCACCCAGCCAGTTCAAACCAGTTCAAACCACAGTGTCCTTAACAATCTGTCTGCCTTGCAGGCAATCTGATCAGGTCTCTGAAGCACTTATGACAATGCTCCAGATAACACGATTCTAATTCAACTTAGCACTTATGACAGTGGGGGTTTTGTGGGGTTTGTTGTTGTTGTTGTTGTTGTTGTTGTTATTGTTGTTGTTTGTCTTTTATGTATTAGAATCTCCTGCCATGTTGTGAGCTTCACAGTGTCTCATTTATTGATCGCTCAGTTCCCTGCCCCAAACCTCTTGCCTGACATTCAGCAGACATCAATCAGAATTTGGAGAATGACTCACTGAATTATATTAGCGAATAGAAGCTTTTCATCTAAGCATTGAATAAGGAGGGAAATCATGCCTTTTGCCAAATTGATTAAATATGAATTAGAAAGTCTCACACAACCCATGAGCTTCAATCAAAARAAAATCTACATTTGTAACATCTAATTTAGACTTAATAAGGTCAGAAAATACAGAAGCTGCTTGGGACTATAAATAGGCACATGATAAAGTGAGAAGCACTCTGGATCCTTTTATTAAGAACCTGAATTCAGGTCTGAGTTCTGCTTCCAACTTGTTTGGTGATCTTGGACTGTTACAAGATTGCATGAATCACAATTGTCCCCATTTATGAATGTGGCTCCAGATAACACTGATTCTAATGATCTCACAGGATTGCTACATTGACTGCAGGAGATATCATATAGGAAATACTTCACAAACCATGTGACTGGACAAATGAGGTGCTCTATATTTAAAGGTAGCAGGCAGGCAGGGTGGTGCACACCTGTAATCCCAGTGGATTGGGAGGCTGAGGTGGAGGATCACAAATTCAAAGCCAGCCTCAGCAATTTAGCAAGGACCTAAGCTACTCTGTGAGGGCTGGGAATGTGGCTCAGTGGTTAAGCACCCCTAGGTTCAATCCCCGGTACAAAATAATAATAATAATAATAATAATAATAATAAAGGTAGCAAGAGATTATTTAAAAACACAGGTATTGGCATCAACAGGTTTGGACACATCTACAACATTCTTTATGTGATCTTAGCAGGTAACTCTCTGCACATTCCTACCTCTCCAACTATAAAATGAAGCTGTTAATATATACATGAGGGTTGTGACAAAAATAAAATATAATAACATATACAAAATGCCTAAAGCAAGGCTTGGTACTAAATATTGTCTGTTCTCTTCCCTTCTCCCTAGTTTACTTGCATTTCTAAGTTAAGTGGATGGTGTTTAAGTTTCATCTGGAGAATTTAATCTTAATGTTGCTACTATACTAAGCCACTCACTCAACATTGATAAATTTTTTAAATTTATAGAATTCGTGAGTCTGGCACATTGTATTTTCCAAAGCTGGACATCAGTATCTCCCATCCCAGACTCTGTGACCTGCCACTCCTCCATCTAAGAGGAGTCTGATTCCCCCCCCCTTGAATATGGTCTGGACTCAGTGATTGGTTTCCAACCAGCAGAATGAGAGAGACATTGTGAGGCTACTTTCTGAGACTCTGTCAGCAGCCTCGTGGCTTCAGCCTTGGTCTCTGGGAATGGTCACTCACAGGGGGACCTTCCCTGTAGGGATGCTCCCTCTCACACCCAGCAGCCCTGAGGTTCATGCTCAGCCTGTCCTTCCACCATCCTAGCTAAGGGTCCAGACAAGTGATAGAAGATGCCACCTTGGCATTGGGTCCTCTGGTCCCAGCTTCTACAGCCCAAGAATTTCTTATCAACCCAGCTGAGACCCCAGATACAGAGAAAAGAGCCATCCTACTTCTGTTCCCTTTTTGGCTTCCCCACCCACAGATTCCATGAACATAATAAAATTATTACTTTATGCCACAAAGTTGGAAGGAGTTTCAGGAGAAAGGAGATCAGTTAGTAAGAGATAACCAGAACAATGAGCTATTTGCACTTATAAGTCTTCAACTTGATCCTACAAATGGGATTTCAGAGCCCCATTCTGAAACCATTCCATCTGCACAGAGAGGTCTCTGCCTGCCACTGCTCAGGCCAGTGTGACCTGTTCGGGAGAAAAAGACAGTAAGAGCCATTCAGAGGAAAATGCCTGGCAACGTCACCTTCTGTTTAGAGAATGGCATTAAAAAGAAAATGAAACTGGCTGGAACTGCTCTGTCAGATACAGCAGCCACAGCAAGAGTGTCCACTGAGCTTTCAAAATGTGTCTAGTCTAAAGTGGGATGTGCTGCAAGTGTACCGTACCAGATCTTGAAGACCAACTTAAATTTTAAGATATCTCATTAATTTTATATTAATTACATGTTGAAATGATATTTTAGATATGATGGGCTTAACAAAACGAATTATTAAAATCAACTCTTGTTTCCTTTTACTTTAAAGAGGCTACTGTAAAATTTAAAATTATATATGTCCCTTGCATATATCTTGGTTTTACAATGTTATAACAGCAGAGAAAGGGAACAAAAATCATATCCTCTGGATGACAAGATTTTGTCTGTCCTGTTTTGTCTGAAATCGGAGTCACTGGTCCAGTGGGCTGGACAGACTTTAAGTAATTTCTTCCAACTTGAGTCAAGCTCATTGAATTACCAGCCCAGCAGAAAAAAATAAAGGAACACTTAAAGGATATTTTAAGTCATCATAAAAGTGAGAATGAATATTTTCACCACTTCAAAATGAAATAGCAAAAAAATGACACCTTCCATTCCTGTCTGTATTTCTTTTTTTTTTTAACATTTAAGATTTTTTTTAAAGAGAGAGAGAGAGAGAATTTTAATATTTATTTTTTAGTTATCAGCAGACACAACATCTTTGTCTGTATGTGGTGCTGAGGATCGAACCCAGGCCGCACGCATGCCAGGCGAGYGCGCTACCGCTTGAGCCACATCCCCAGCCCCCTGTCTGTATTTCTAACGTCTAAGGCTTTGCTTACTGAGGAAACAGAGAAAAGCTGAGCAATTATCCCATAAACATAGTTTAAGAAGAGGATCAGGGGCTGGGGCTGGGGCTCAGTGGTAGTTCAGAATGCCCAAACATTCAGAATAATAAAAACAATGTGCTAATCCATGTGGAGCAAAGAAACTGTGAGTGTACATGTCTCAGGGGCTCATAAAAGTGTGCTGAGAATTCCTTCTATCCCCAGAACCCACTTACCAGGGTCCAAAGTTTAAATTATTTTCTTAACAACACTCAAGTGTTATTTTCTTTTTTTTTTTTTTTTTTTTTTTACTCTTACTCTTCCCCAAGTGTATGGCAGGGTTTTAAGAAGCCACACAGCAAGTGACATCACAGCAGACCGAACACAGAAACCAACATGCAAATCCAGCCTTCTTCTAATCAGCTAAATACATCAAACGATGTCACTCTTCTCACTAATTTTTTTGTCAAACATGGTTATTTTTCACAAAGGAAAGTGACCATTATACTAACATGCTTTTGCCATTTTGAAATAAGATAATAAGTAAATAATTCAAGAGTTTTCTCAGTTTTAATTTCTATCAATAGATAGAAACCATAAGAACAAAAATTCTTCAAGATCCTCAATAATTTTTAAGTATGAGGATCAAGGCACAGGGATGTGCAGAGATGTTGGTCAGACAGAATAGACTTTCAGTCACAAGTAAGTTCTGAGGAGCTAATATACAGCATGGTGACTTTACACTTACCAAATTCCAAGAATTATATATGGCATTTAAGTATTATAAACTTGGAATTTGGTAAGAGGGTATATCCTAAATATTCTCACCGTAGGAAACAAAGGTAACCATGTGAGGTGATGGATGTGTTAACTAACTTGATTCTGGTAATCCCTTCATAATACATAGTACATCAAATCATCCCATTACACACTGAGTTGTACAACTTCACTTGTCAATTATATTTCAATAAATCTGCATAGGAAATAAGTGCAAAGATATTTTGAAACCAAAAGTGTGAGAACCCATGGTATACATACAAAATTAAAATAGGCACCTGTGGCAAACTAGTTCTCCATTATTGAAAATTAAGTGAAAACCATGGGTTTTTTAATGCTTACTCCTCCTCAAATGTATGGCAGGGTTTTTAAGAAGCCACCCAGCAAGTGACATCACAGCCTCCTATGATATTTATATGATGGAATAAAAATCATCCCTACTACATTCCAGTCTCCTAGCTCAGAATTTTCCCTATAACATACTTTTTTTCCCTCCACCAGTGATCACATGATAGATAACTTGACTTGTCCAAAATGTTCCCAGTGGTGTATCCATGCCAACCATCAGTGATCAGCTGTAATTCCACCACCTTCTTGGCTACCCAGGAAGGCATCAGAATTGACCTTGCCATAAGAATGGGCTTGGGGACTGGGTTTGCAGCTCAATGGTAGAGCACTTGCCTTGCATATGTGAGGCTCTGGGTTGGATCCTCAGCAGCACATAAGAATAAATAAATAAAAATAAAGGTATTGTGTCCATCTACAACTTAAAAAAAATTTTTTTCAATCCTTAAAAAAAAAGAATGGGCTTGGATTTTCTTCAATTTTTTTTTGTTTAACCACTTACATATGTAGCTCAATAATAATAACAAATTATCTGCAATTTAGATCATTGATAGCAACTGCTCTTATATGCATTTCAGACCACATTCTCAGATCAAATTCCCTGAACGAAAAACAAAATGGCCACCATTCATCATTAAACACCTTCCAGAGACTACATCTTTAAAAACTTGTAAGCATGATATTGGTTGTAATAAATGGTAATTTTAGATATTTTAAACCCACTTAAATGACAGATGAGAAAAACTTTCATGACTTAAGTGCCAGCTAAGTGCTAATATTTGACCCATTTTGCCATATTCTTTGAAAGGAAAGAAATAAGATGCATGGTACATAAAAGGAGGCTGGATTTGATTAGTGCACATCATATGCATGTATTGAACTATCACACTGATCCCCATTAATATGTACAATTAAAACATGTTAATCAAAAATAAAATGAAATAAAAATAGTCTAACCTATAAAAAAAAGAAAGAAAGAAAATTTAGTACTTACATATTCACCTTCTTTACCAGGATGACCAGGAAACCCAGCAAAACCCTTCTCTCCCTGAAAAAAAAAAGATTTAAAAATTAAAATTAGTAAGTTGGATTCTTAAGTTCTTCATTTCTCAAATTTAGGTAAAATACAGTGATAAAGTGCCCCTGAGTTAAATCCCCAGTACCAAAAAAAAAAAAAAGAAAGAAAGAAAAGAAAAAAAATTTAGGTGAAATAAAAATCGTTAATAAAAATAAATATCCTTATTTTACTGAGTTGACATTTTATTGAAAATTTACTAGATACTAGAAACCATATACCAAGATATATAAAAATAAGTATTTTAGGCTTGTGTTCCAGGGAAAATGTGATACCTGTTTGTTTTAATAGTTAGAAAATAAAACTATTATTATTTTTCCAAAATGCTTTTTTAAGCCATTCTATTCTGAAAATTCAAAGGCCAATATCTAGTTAAAAGATTAAGGAAAGCCATTATTGACCTTGTTTTAGAAAAGAGCAGAAACTAAAAAGGTTACCAATCATCTGACTCATGAGAAAAGGTTGTTTATTTCTGAATGACTCAACTGTTTAGTCTTTTTTTTTTTTTACTTCTTTTTACATACCTAAACACAAACTATATCCTCTCAAGGAAGTCTGGCTTACCTTTTATAGCTTAAAATGTTTATTTAGTCTAAAACTGAAAACCTTATTTTTTTTTGAAACAGCTTTTTATTAAACAACAAAGCAGAACTGCAACACACATTTTAAATATTTGTAAATTAGATCACAAAAGTGATGCAAAATGTTTGCAGTCTATTATATATTCATACAGCTAAAGTCATTCATCAAATCTTACACTAATCTCTAAAAATCAGTCCATGATTAAAAGCCATCCAAATCTAATAACCATAAGCTATATTAGTGGATCTCTTTTCCTATCATAACATTTTATTATTATTTCTGATACTAAGTCCCTTATCAAGTGGAATCCTCAAACTAAATATTTTTAAATTGTTCAAGAATAACTAAAACTCTGCCAACCAAGTAGTTCAATTTACAGATAATTCTAGGAAAACAAGTGAGATAAAATACTGAGATGAAGATTACCAATAATTATACATGAATAAATACACTTATTCATGGTTCTGATACTAATTCAAGCTCTTAAGGAATTTTGCAAAAGTTGATCTACTGGATACTACAAATAAACCTTGAGATAAGATTCTGTAATGAGTCTCCCTAATATGTGGCTTACATAACATAATTCAAACTAAATCCACTTTCATATATATTCTCCCAAAAGGTAGACTCTGCCAGAGATAACACGAATCTGGAGAAAAAAATATTTGGAATTGGTCACTACTAGTTACCAAGTTCTCTTCCACCCAATTTCTATTTTTCCTTAAGATTGTCTATATTTCACACACACATACACATGCCCAGAACTTGTACCTTTTCAGATACTAAGTGGGCTATTTTGTGCAAAAGGAAGTTTTTAACAAATCTTTCCAATATAGACGATTCAGTTTCACAGAAAAATCTTCTTTTATAATCTCAATCAACCATCCTGTCTTATTGGTAAATATCACAAATGGCAAGCCCTGGCTAAGAAAGCATCTTATTTTGCTTACATTTCAACAATTAAGGGTTTAGGTTACTCTCAAAATTGATTTACTATTAAAATTACTTTTTTCCAGTGTGAAATCTTCCCCTCCCCTTAGGGGAAGGGAAACAGGGAGGAAGAGACAAATGGAGAAGAGACTCCCGATGGTAGAGAGGGTACACAAATCTGTATACCCAGATTATGATTTGGGTCACTTTTTCACAATGTGGTAGTTACTTTCTTGTACATCTTACTAAACCTATAAGAAAAGACAGTGCTAAACTTATACATCAAAGCAAATATCATCTTCACAAGTATTCAATGAGGCCACAAAGATACTGTAACTTTTGGAATCTATCCAAGTTTCAAAGAAAAAAAAAAATTAGCAGTCTGAAAAAAAAGGGGGGAGGGGAGAAGGAAATCAATCCCCAACTTTCTCTTGCTTTTTGTGTCAGTTATTTGAAAAACACTAGAAGCAGCCAGGAGGTTTTCTATATATTGTCCAAGGACTTGGTTTTCCTTAACTGCATCTACTCTTGCAGGGAGATCTTGAAGGTATGTGTGTGTGTTGAAGTTCTAACACTTGATTAATAAGTTGTGTTTTTTCCTCCATTTCCACCTGATTTTTAGCATCAGAATCAGGTCAGTATTCATCATCTCCTGTAACAAATTTTTAGGCCTTGAGTACAAAATTCTGGATGAATGATCTTCTGTTTGAGGCAACAGGAGTAGGTGGGACTGGGGGAAGCCCTTTTATGATCCACAAAGACATGAAAGTCAGTACAACTAGCGGAGGCAGGACAGGCAGAAAGGAGACAAACAGCGAAGGAAAGAGGGACTGTAATTTTAAAATAACTAAAAATACACGAACGCCCTCACCTTCTCTCCCCAGGCATGTTCTCCTCCAGGCCTGAATTCTTAGGAGGTCCAATAAATCTTAGAGTACTGTAAGTCCAGTTATTTAGTCCCTACATACTTCATTGTTTTACAGAATGTACTTTTAGATGGATTAAAAGAAGCCTAGAGAGATAATGTTTAAAAACTATGACTCGGGTAGAGTTCAAGAGCTGTTTATTCACAAGATTAACATCAACCTAAAGATTCTGAGAAAAAAAAGGGGGGGAGGGACCTGCTCTGTGCTCCGAAATCAAAGGGATCAAGCTCATTAGGGCTGACGCCACCCCTGCAGGCACCCCATGTTCACTATTTGCAAGAGCAGCCCAGGACCCCAAAAGCACCCACACTCCCCCTGCCTTTGAGAGCATGCCCGGCTCTGCTTTCCTAAATAAACCTCTGCACTTCTTTCCATGTGTCCTGAAATTTCTTCCTGCAGCCTAAGTCAAAAACCTGCCAGGGCTGAACGCAGGTCCCCTTTCCCTTCTGGAGGAACCTCTTGAGACTCCTATCCAGTGACACAATCACTGAACTCTAACAAACAGAAAGAGCAGAGCAATCAAATTTCAAAACATTTTCTGAGTTGCCAAGAACACACGTCAAGAAGTTCCCAAACTTGATTTTCCGATTCTCAATTCTGATATGAAAGAACAGGAGTGGGGGAGCTAACGCTAAGACATAACTATAATTTATTTTTTAAAAGGTAGTTATACACTCTTTATTATACTAAGTTAACAAGATTAACCTGAAAAGCCAGTAAGAGCTCATTCCAAGAAGTTCATGGAAAAATCTTCCAAAGAGAACCAACAAGTCTGACTCAACCTTACATGTGGATCTGTGACTGTGTCCTCATCATAAAGCTATAGTCCCTGTGAGAAGGAACCTTGCCTGCCCTGGATACCTGAGGACCATTTTTGATGACTTACTCCCCCCCCCCATTACAAGTGTTGCATACTTATTTCCCTATCAATTTGCTTAGAATTAACAGAGATGTAAATTAACTGCTACATGAAACCAGCAATTGCATCTTTTCTCGATGTATAATGCTATAAAAAAATAATGTTAGATAAGAGGGTCCCAGGAAAAGCATTTACTACAATAAAAACAGCAGCTAATGGATAAGTAAAAATCCGGTAGGTAAGTGAAAATTTCTCTGCCATGGTAGAATTCGTGACATTATTTGTCAGATATTAAGTAGGCAGCAAAATATGGCAGAAAGAACAGGAAACTTGGAGTCGGGTAGACCAGTGAGGTTTAAATCCCATGACTGTGCAAGTTTGGGAAAGCGACGACCCTCTCTGAGCCTCAATTTCACATATGTAAAATATCAGCAAACTTGAAAGTTTATTAAGAGGAAAAAATTAGGAAGAGTTTATAAAACCTAGTGTATGGTAGGTTATGTACCTAATGCAGAACCTAGTGTATGGTGGATAGTGGACTGTCATCTCTCTCCCCTTCCCCATCCACACCCAAAAAAATTCTTACCTTCCTCCCAGCAAACCCATGATCACCTCTGTACCCATCTTCTCCAAAACACTTGGCATACATATTGCAGCAGGTTCTTTCCACAATTGTGTCCTGAAAAACAGAATCCATATCACATATGATTTTTTTTCCATCCATACTGACCTGTATCACATTATACAATAAAACAGACAAAATTCCCTCAAGGTTTTACAAATTATCATAATTATTAGGACCTAGTGAAAGATGGTGTTTAAAAAATAGAACTTACAAGTTGCTTCAGTAAGACGCTTGGGAGGGATTGTAGAGTGATGCTCAGAGGCTGTGTATATGAAAATCCTCTGCCAAATTCTAGCTCCTGAAGCTCTTCTAATTTATGCACACCTTCCAGGGCAATGATTAGGAGCCCAGAGAATCCTTTGAAAGATCAACAGATGGGAGATTTATTTGCATGTCCTTTGAATGGCCTTTGTCTCAGCCCCACATATTCATCTGTCATTCCACCATTCCCATATCCTGAATCCACCACGTTAATACACAAACTAGTTCACAGCATTCTTCTTGAAGAATTGTTCCAATACCTTTCACTCCCACCAGTTGAAAGTTAGCAGTTAAATGGAACAAAAAACACACTCACAGCTCTCTCATACCTCTACTTTTTTCATATCATAGATAGTTTTCTGCCCTTACTGTATTGTTACATCCTTCTAAACCCATCCCTGAAATCAACTTATGGTTCACTCTTAGAAATAGTGGTTATCATTGTGACTCCTTATGCACTTTCTGGTTCCCTTTCTTAAGGATGCACAATAGGACCACACTTCTTTGGGAAAGTTATAAACTCTCAGTGAAACTTAATTCCCTACCAGTAAAATATTTTAAGTAAGAAGTGGTCATGTGGCTTGCTCTTGCCAGTGAAATGTGAGAAGTGACATGTGGCACTCCTGGGGAAGAAGTTTTAAGAGTAGCACATAATTAGCTCCGTCTCCTTTCCCCTGCCCCAGCAATTACAAAAGCATCTGTTGGGAAACATCCTCCTGCACCCTGAGTCTTTGAGTAATAAATAGGAAGCATGAAATGAACATGTTCTTTCCACTTTAAGCTGAGATTTGGAGATAGCTTATTAATACTGCATAGCCTATTCTTCCAATGCACTTACTAAGAGCTTATTTGGATTTGTCCACACAACAGATAACAAAGGGGCAAGAATAATTTAGAAATTCAGCTAGAACTCACCATGTTTGCTGAATGTCAGAACAAATATTACTGTTGATATTATGGACAAATACAAATCAACTTTTTATTATTGTAAATAAGTTGTGGAAAACCTCATAGTTAAAAGTTGTGTACACAACTTTAATTATTCATTAGAAATAAATTCTTGGCAATGGAATTGCTGACCTACCATGCAGGCAAAGTTTAAAGTTTCTTGTCACCTCCTCCCAAATCTCTTCCAGAAAAGTTGCAAAAATCTAAACCTCCAGGGGCAATCTACCAGGTAAATTAAGCTGGAAGCAAGTTATCACAGAAAATATCCATCATATCACTAACCATCCCCAGCAGAATATGTTGAATATACTCTACCAAGGAAAAAAAAATGATGAAGGGAACTTGAACAAGTCAAGTGTCTGAGTGTTCATCCTGGGTTTGCTTTAGAGCCTTGTGACTCAAAAATGGGAACTGGCAGAGCCACTGCATACCATTGAACAAATCGTGCTGCACAAGGACTTCCAGCAGAGGGAGCAAATGTGCACCAAAATCCAGCCACTAGGCCCCTCATCACTCCAGCAGCCCAGGCGCAGGGTTGCATGCACCTAGCGCACGGGACATCTTCTAATTTCAAAATATGCCCTATAGATAAGCGCAGCAAGCCTTGGAGACGGAAAGGAAGGAAGAAGTAGAAAGGGGGTAAGAAGTAGGGAGCGTTTAGAGGGAATGGCAGTGCAAAGAATAAGGCCCAGTTTGAGGCTGAAACCAGAGTTTAGGGGAAAAAAAAAAAAAAAGAACCCACGCTCAGAAGCAGATGCCAGGTTGGTAAACTGGCCAGCTGTCTTAACCAGAGAGATCCCGATGTCAGAGATGCTAAGAGCAAGAGGTGTCTCTCAGTCCTAAATACCCCTGGCTCCTACAAATGGGGAGATTGGGGATCAGCTTCTGGGGACTGAGCTCCATCGACTTGGGCTAACACACCCTCTGGAGAGTTGCAGAGCCTCTGTGCCTGGTGGGAGGAGCCCGAGCAAGGGAGGACAACTCCGCAGCTTACCTTGGCTGCGGAGGAGCTCCGAAGCTCTCTTCAGTCTCTCTAAATCATCGTCCAGTCCATCTGTAAACACTAAAAGGACCTATGGGGGTGGGGAGGGAGGAAAGGAAGAGAAAGGGAGAGAGAGGGAAGCCAAGGGATCAAAACGAGGAGGAAGGAAGGAAGGGGATGAGGAGGAAGGAAGGGGGGAAATGGATGCTATAAATTGCACATTTCTTAAAAATGAGACTGAATTTTTCTAACTGTGCTTCACTTTTCACCTATTCATTTGTTATTTTATTCCACATTCATATTTGTCAACCTCCCCTTTCCCCTGGAGAAGAAAAGGGGGGAGGGGATTTGTGCCAGCTTAAACTCTTCACTAAAAATGCTTTCTTAAACCCGGCCAGGTGATGCACACCAACTCTGGAGGCTGAGGCAAGAGGATACAAGTTCAAGGCCAGGCTCAGCAACAGCACACCCAGTCTTAAATTTAAAAAAAAAAAAAAAATGACTGGACATGTAGCTCTGTGGCTCATAGTAAAGCACCCCTGGGTTCAATCCCCAGTATTTAAAAAAAAAAAAACAACTTCAAAAAGAAGGATGGGGGGGTTGTTTTTTGTTGTTTTTAAGTGTGGGGTATTGTTATTTTTGTTGATTTTCTATGCATTTTCCACAATTAAAATGTGTCAACTTTATTCATAGAAAATTTTAGTTTAAAAAATAAATTATGTTTGTCAAGAAATCCATTGAATGGGGGCTGGGGTTGTGGCTCAGTGGCACAGTGCTCGCCTAGCAAGTATGAGGCCCCAGGTTCGATCCTCAGCACCACATAAAAATAAATAAAATAAAGATATATTTAAAAAGAAAGAAAGAAATCCATTGGATGCATGATCTAAGGAAAACTCAAGTGTAAATTACAAAGCTTGGGAATGTCACTTAATCAATGTCACATGAAATCTTGTGTCTATGAGGACTTATGGAGTATATAGTTAGGCACAGCCAGAAGGGAGGAAGGGGCGTGAGGAGTGGGCTGCACTAGAGAGCCATTAGTTGTCACTAAAGACAGTCTAAGGTGCTGGCTGGAAAAACAGTGGACCAACTCCCTAATAGTTGATAATAGTAATAGTAACAGTAATGAGCTACCATAAGAAACAAAGGGGTCTTAAAACGTACTTCAAATTGTCTTTGGAATGAGTTTATGCCACAGAAAAATCAGGATCACTAAACTTTGGACAATATGAGGGCAGACTTTATTCTCTCATCCCTACAGGCATTTTTTAGTACAGAGCCTCTAGGGCTCAATAAATATTTACTGATTGAATGAAAATATATCTCTAGTTGATTCTTAATAGGCAAGCGTATGGTTTTCTTCTTATGTAGACTTTCCAATAAAGAACATTTCCACTGACATGGGTTACAAAAGATAGAAGGTCCCCATTCTGTCCTGACTAATGGCTCCATAGCATGGGTTCTCAGCATGTATTAATTACCTTTACTTTAGCAGAAGAAAGGTTGATAGCATTATCTCCCAAGGATTGTAAAAAGTCTACATCCATATGGCTGTTCTTCTCAACCTGATGAGCCAAGAACTTCTGGATGGTCTCATCACTGTATTTCTCAAAGCCTGAGTCAAAGATAAGCTGACCGTTTGAGCCAGGAAGCAAGTAGCGGAACCTTGGGTTGATCTGACCAGGAGTACCACAGCTGAGGTTAGAAAGCAAAGCCAGCTGCTGCATCAACTCTGGAAGTAACTCTTGAAGTTTCTGCTGAACTTGCTTTGCAGGAGTTGAAATATCAATTCCTACAGACAAATCCATGCTGCATCCTTTGAGGGTGAAGAAGAAATAAAATTACAGTTACAGACAGTATCCTTCAAGCTGGTCTTAAAAGAAGCACCTGAAAAGAAGTACAAGCTAAAGAATGGTGGTTGTTTAAGCCTGGGATTGTTTGTTACACAGTAAAAGCTAACTGACACAATGCATACTGCTTCATACCTCTGTCTCTGCAGATCCTGTACCCTCTTGCCTGAAGTGTTTTCTCATTCTCTGTCCTGATTTGGTTGACTTATACAAGTCCTTCAAGTAGAAGTTCAAGTGCCTGCCCCACCCACCCCCAAGCAATCTCTGATTCTTGTCCCCATCTCCTCAGATTAAGTTATAAAGTGTCCCCAAATGTCCATTGTGATTTTACTTGACCTTCTCCCCGACTAAACAAGGTTCCTTAAGGGTAGGTACTATGTCATCTTATTTTCCCGTGGCCTAACACAGACGCTCATTAAATGTTTGATGAGTGGGTGCAGAAGGGGCTATAAATGAACCTTGAGTCTCTTTCAGTGTTATTTGTAACTATTTTTTTCTCCACTGGAAGTTTTCCTCCTCATCTACCAAGCACACTTACACCTTTTTTTAGGGGTGTGAGAGATCTTAGAAAAGGTCAAGACTAAATATTATCCTGAGTTTTCTGCTTCCTCTGCCTGAAAATTGTTAAACCCTCCTGGGGAGGCTTTATCAAGAATTTGAAGGCACCCTGATATTTCAGGTTATACCTACACTCTCAGGTGTATAATGAGACCATTCACAAAATTCCACTGAGGATGCAAACATTAGTGGTCACAGCTGGGCTAGAATCTACATGAATGAGTTGAAATATAAATTATCAACAATTAAAGGGCCACTTGTGAACAAAAGCATAATTTAAGACTAAGCAAAGCAAGATAGGTGATGTGGACATTTTCTCCTTAAACATTCTTATACTGGAATGCATAATTCAATAAAAACAAAACTGCAGATTTGGGGGAGACCCTTCACCAATGAAAAAGGACATGAACGAAATACTTTAAAGTTTCCTAAGGACATGAGATCCAGGGCTGAGCCATGAATTTTTAATTCCCTAAATATCATACTCCATACTAGCTGGACAGATATGTTTCTGGAATTGCCAAGACAGAAAATGTGTCCCTCTCCTCCTTTCATAAAAAACAGCTTGGTTTTAATTTGTCTTTTAAATCTCTAGTTCAAATTCATAAGAAAGAACTTTTACTGATTTAATCCCATTTCTATATTAGACCTATTTTCAGGGGAAAAAGGGATTTTCTTTTATCATAATGGTATATTATTCTGACATTTTCTAATTTACATTTTTTCCCTAGAACATTTTCAGCTGGCTTTATTCTGTAATTGACAAAGGCAAGAAGCAATATCTTTCCCTTGTTAATGGAGAAGGTTGAACCTTGGCAGATAATCTCTAAGGTCTAGGTCTTTTTCAGCTTTGTGATTCCAGAATTCTGTAATTAATTATGTTCCAGCTATCATTAAAGTGTCTAGCCAATTTCATCCAGAAAGTTAAAGACAAAGTTGAAGATAAACATAAATCTTAATTTACTGCATTTGGCAAAATAAATTGAAAAGAAAAGCAGGAATCCTGTATTTCTTCTCTCCAGGATAATGTCTACTTGTTTATAAACAAAAATAGGACCTTGATGCCTGAAGAATTTGCACTACCTAATGCAGGATAGCCCATAATCCATGCTTATTTTGAAAATAATTATACACATGCATTCCTTTCAAATGATTTCCAAATTCACCTCAACTACGGTGAAGAAATGATCTTCTTTAGGCAGTGTAAGCAAAGATATTTATTTAATGTTCCATAAAATTGGACTTTAAAGGTTTTATAAGAATTGGCTGTGGTGGCACACGCCTATAATCCCAGAGGCTGGGGAGGCTGAGGCAGGAGGATCTCGATTTCAAAGCCAGCCTCAGCAATGGCAAGACACTAAGCAACTCAGTGACACCCTGTATATAAATAAAATTCAAAACAGGTCTGGGGATGTGGCTCAGTGGTTCAGTGTCCCTGAGTTCAATCCCTGGTATCAAAAAAAAATTATTTTTTGATAGGATGCAGAGATCTCATCCTAGTATTCCAAAATTAAGCCTCCACCTCCAAAATAAATGCTGGTGCACTTTGGGCCCCAGCTTCTCATTAAAAGGTTCCCTATGCATACATAATGATTAGTTCTTGGGTTTTTGACATCAAACTACTGGAGAATCCAAACCCTGCCTCCAATACTTTCCAACTGTGTTTATTATCTTCTCTCTCTCTCTCTCTCTCTCTCTCTCTCTCTCTCTCTCTCTCTCTCTCTCTCTCTCTCTCTCTCTCTCTCTCTCTCTCTCTCTCTCTCTCTCTCTCTCTCTCTCTCTCTCTCTCTCTCTCTCTCTCTCTCTCTCTCTGCCTTGTTTTTCTCCTCTGTAAATTGGGCATCATAAGAATAGCATAAGTTTCACATGGAGTTGATGGGATTAGTGGATGCTTGTGTACCGTCCAACACGTTAGAAACCATGCTGTGCACACAGTGGAAGAGCCACGTTAAGAATCTCAATTGTGTCCCACCTGGAGAAGGCCCTGCCTTGAGATCTCTAGTTTTATGAAATAATATATTATTGATTAAGTTGTGTCCTCTATAGGTAAAAACATCCTAATTGATAAGAAGATTTTTTTGATACTTGTGAAGTATCCAGTAAGACAGAGGGTGAGAAAGTGCTTTGTAAATGTCAAAAGCCCATGTTCTGCCTCCAGGTGGAAGGTGGCAGAACCTTGTCAAGAGACACGTAAGTAAAAGCACGGAGGTGAGCCATCTTCCCTCCCCTTTTTTCAACCTAAAAGTATTCAATAAAAACCTCTAAATCCAATTAATAGTGTATACATATATATTTAGAGACAAAATTACAAAATGATCTTCTATATATTTTCTAGGAATGCTGAGCTTCCTAAGTTCCACATACTTTGTTCTACATGATTCTGTTCTCTACCTTATTACACGATGCTATGCTACACTATGTGCATCCTAGACACTCTCTGCTGTACCACGTCATCCTTGTGATGCTTCTCTACCCTATCATATATGTCTCTCCCTCCTTAAATTGTGGTCTGAGGACCCACCTGGGGGCCTGTTAGAAATGCAGGCTCCCACCCCTGACCTACTGAATCAAAATCTGCACTTTCACAAGATATCTAGGTGACTCAAAAATATGTTTAAGTGTGAAAGATCCTGTTACCCTCTGCTCTAGTGTACCAAATCAAAAGGCAGCAGAACGCAATTTTTAGCACATAAATTCTAGAACCTGATTGCCTCAACTCAAACTTCAGCTCTGCTATTAACTTGGGTCAAATAACCCAATTGATCTATGTCTTGAGTTCCTTTCTCATTTTTTAAAATACTATCTATGTCATAGAGCTATATAAAGATTAAATGTTTTAATATATAAAAGCCCTTGAAACAGTCTCTCTCTCTCTCTCTCTCTCTCTCTCTCTCTCTCTCTCTCTCTCTCTCTCACACACACACACACACACACACACACACACACACACACACACTATTTAAAGGCTAGCTATTCTGATGATAAAACCCATATGCTGTAAAACCTCACTGCATATGGGTATGAGCTGGAGCTTTCCTTGCAAACATTTTCTAGGTCTGTCTTTCCTGGGAAAGAAGAGCAGAAGAATAGAGCTAGGCTGTCAGGAGGAGAAATACCTGTCTCTAGCCATTGTTATTTTAGAAAAAAGCTTGAGTAGCACATGCCTGTCATCCCAGCAGCTCAGGAAGCTGAGGCAGGAGGATTTCGAGTTCAAAGTCAGCCTCAGCAAAAGCAAGGCGCTAAGCAATTCAGTGAGACCCTGTCTCTAAATAAAATACAAAATAGGGATGGGGATGTGGCTCAGTGGTTGAGTGCCCCTGAGTTCAATCCCTGGTAGCAAAGTAAAAAGAAAAAGAAAGAAAGCTTGAGGGAGGGAAAAAAAACTGGATTGAAAGAGGGATGTGGTGGTACATTCCTGTAATCCCAGCTACTCGGGAGGCTGGGGCAGGAGGATCACAAGTTCTAGATCAGTCTCAACAACTTAACAAAGACCCTGTTTCAAAATAAAAAATAAAATGCTGCAAATGTAGCTCAGTAATAGAGCACCGTGGATCCAATCCTGAATACCACAGAAAAGGAGAGGGGGATTAAAGATGACCTTGCTGTACTGAAGCCGATTGGCAACAAAGCAGAGGAACCCTTGTAGAGCACCTCATAGCAAAGGCGGTGTTTTCTAATAGCCCTATTATATATAACTCTTATGCATCAATTTTTCAAAAACCATGTTCAAACACACTCCAAAAGAAGACCATGTTCTCTGTTTCATAGGAGAGACTGCCTAAATGATATTGTCTTCTGCTTTATTTTCCTGTTGTCTAACCCTTCAGAGGGTTGTGTTCACACACTCTAGTCTGGTTTATCTTTGCTATAAGGAATAAGAGGAAGAGCTGTGAGGAATTGTGGGGATGGAGTTCTGAGAAGGTTCAGGCCTCTCAAGACCAGAGTGGTTCAGTTGGGGATGCAGTTCAGTGGTAGAGTGTCTAGACGCCTGGGGTGCAAGAAGCTCTGGGTTTGATCCCTAGCACCACAAATAAAGATCTACAACAGTGCTTCCTGCTTTGTGTAGGCACTTGTAACTAAATAAGTAGAAAAACATTTTTGAAAAAAAAAAAACAAAAAGAGACCATAGTAGTGACTATGGAAATAATTAAAATAATCCCCAGGAGAAGGTGAACCACAGTGTCAAGTGCCTAGATCCTAAAAAGTCAACTTCCCATCCACCCCCGACCCCTGTCTACCTGGAAGGATCAAGTTTTACATTAACAGAGCCAACTGGGTTCCTGACACCTATGATGACTTGTGAGTCAAATAATTTCTCTGTCACTCACCTTGTGGATTGCAGACTTTATAAAGAATTTTCTTCTCCAGGTTCTGCAGGGACTCAAATTTCTCTTCATAGTATATGTTATCCTCATCATTCGTAATCTCGAAAAGCTGGGAACTTTTGGCTTCTCCCACCCCAATGGCAAAAATAATTATGTTTCTGTCCCTGAGAGCCTTGGCTGGTAGGGCTACATTATCCTGAGAGACCCCATCCGTGATCACAATCAAATATTGAAGGATATTGGGTCTCCCTCCTCTGGAACTGTCAAAAAAAGGCAGAGTGAAGTTCAAGGCTTTCCCCGTGCGGGTGCCATCATTCATTTGCTGGACAGCCAAGATGGCTCTGCGAATGTCCACCTTTGAGGAATATTGGTTGAGCCTGAATTCTTCCTGAGGGGTTGAGCTGAACTGCAAAAGGCCAATCTGAATTTCATCAGCACTGATATTGGATTGGTTCACCATCCTCTCCATGAATTCCTTCATCTTTTCAAAGTCTTTTGGGGAGATAGATTCTGAACCATCTACCAGGAAGATAATGTCAGCTTTTCTATTCTTACAGGCTGGGAGGGAAAAGAGCAGAACAGAATATTCGATCAGAATCTGAAACTAATTAATTCCAAGTTCCCAGGGATAGTGTGGGTTAACATACACAACATGAAAAGATTTCAAAGGGATTGGAAGAGGAAGTCAATAAAATTAAATTTCTGTTAACTCAACACAGACCATTCTCAAAATAAGAAACAGCTATTTATTTGGTAATGCTATAAAATTTGACCAGCTTGGTTTATTCCAGGTCAATGTCACTTTAGCATGCTCATGACTGACTTGTCAACAGTGAATCACACTTAGAGAATGAAGCCTATTCAAGTAGATTAGACACATATAACTTGAGAAAGAGAAAGTGAAGTAAAAAAAAAAAAAAAAAGTCTTACTCTCTGAGGAGCAGATGTCCTGTACCACTTCTTGTTGGATGGCCTTCAAGGAATCAAATTCATACACAAAAAACACCTTGTCTTTTGCTATTTCCTGAAGCTCAGTCACGTCAGCATCTCTTACTCCAATAGCATAAATGACGACTCCTTCGACCCTCAATCTCTCTGCAGCCTCAGCCACGGGGTCTGAAGATTTGCCATCAGTGATGACTATAAGATACTGAGCCACATTGATTCGGGCTGTGTCTGCAAAGACCCGAGTCATGTTACTCAGGGCCTCCCCAGTGGCAGTACCACCTCCTCCCTGCTGGATGTCATCAATGGCGGCCTTCAGCTCTGCCACACTGGTGTACTGGCTGAGGACAAATTTGCTTTTCATTTTGTCTGAGTACTGAATGACTCCAAATCGCACTCTGTCAGGCCCGATCTGAAACATCTTTATCACCTCATTCATGAACACCTTCATTTCAAGAAAATCCTCTGGGCCGATGCTGCCAGACCCATCCATAAGGAAGTAAATATCTGCCTTCTCAATATTCACACAACCTGGGCAATGAGAAGAGGGAAACAACCTGTTAGAAGAGAGTCTGAGGTGGGGTATAGTCAAAGCCATGGATCTGATCTCCACCGTATTCCCCTAGCACTCATTGTCCCCTGGGTATTCCTTGGCCAAGAGCATGATCAGCCTACATATGAGCAAACCAGAGTGCCTGGGAGAGAAACAGCCTCCAACCAATGTCTGGAAGGGTTTGGATAAATACCCCAGTTCCCTTGCCCTCTGGTGGGATAACTCCAAAGTGAGTTCTACTGTTTCTCTTGAGGACCTACCAGAATTGGGCACCAATTGCCTACAGCAATAGCCTAGAGTTTACTTTTCACTCTCTGTTAGCTGTCTCCCCTTTCCAGTCTATATTTTTTTCTTTTTCCTCCCTTTCCATTCTTGATATCCCACCCCTTACCAATATCCCTTAAGGTCACGTCCAGATAAATTCCTCACATCCCAATCCTTGTCACAGAGTCTATTTGATTATACTCACTGAATGCACGAAGTAAATATAACTTGACATTTCACAAATGGGAAAGTTAAGAATAAAAGTTAAAAATTAGCTGTGAATGGTCTCCATTTCCATCATCCTGAAACAAACCCAAGTCATATTTTTTTTTAAAATGCATGGGCAAGAGTGCAACTTTCTGAAATTTAATTTAATTAATTTAAATTAATCTGATTCAAACTAATTTAAAACTTTCAGTTTTAAATGAGCCTAACTTAAACTACTCACTTTGTATTAAGACCTAGATTGCAAAGGCTCCTAGATTTTGACAGCAGGCTTGGCTCCTTCGCAGCTGAATTTCCTAATCTGTCAAACAGGATCTCAACTCCTACTCAAGAAACTCATTGTGAGGCATAAGTAAAATCATGTAAACACAACAGAGCTGAGTGTTAAAAAAATTTTATAATTAAAATTATCCAGTGTTTTTTTTATTTGCTCTTTTTAGTTATACATGACAGTAGAATGTATTTTGGGGGATATATATATATATATATATATATATATATATATATATATATAAACATTCTATTTATTTTTGTCATCTAGCAAGTTCCTCAAAAAGAGTGAAACACTTTTCTCCTCACCTTTTTAAGTGAAGTCAGACAGTCTCATGTTGTTCATCTCTGCATTCCCCTGACCCAGAGGAGAACTTAGGGCCTTTCCATGTTCCCTAGCTAAAGGGGAAATGGTCTGAGGTCAGAGTTGATCTCCCCTATTCAGGCCTTTATTTGGGAAGACCTAGGTTCATGCAATATGTGTGACATAACTTACATTAAAAGAGAGAGAGAGAGAGAGAGAGAGAGAGAGAGAGAGGACATAGAAATAGACATACAGAAATAGACATACAGCATACAGATGAGAGAGATGAATTTCATCTTAATGAAACTCAAATTTAATTAGTCATCCTATATTTCATCTGGCAACCCTACCTTAGAGGATCACACATTGGAAATACGGGTGGCTTAGAGGGGTAGAGAGAAAAGTAGTCTGCCCCTGGAGACTAGAGGTTGGGGAAGAAACTGGAATATTGCTTGGAGACAGCTATATGGTTGCCTGGAGTCTGAGAAAAGAACCTCTGTGCAGGAAGAGGCATCTCTTTAGAAGGCAGCATGCAGCAGTGGCCCAAAACAGCTCCACTCTAACCCATTGTGCAGAGGAGTCAAGGGCCCTGAGCACTGCCTGGCATATACATTCTTTTCAGTCTTGGCAAATGAAGGGTTTGGGGGGTTGGGGGAGATTATCTTACCATCTAGATACCACTGGGCATCCACATCTATTACCCACATCATGTGCTTAGCAGGGTGTCACATAAAAAATAGCAAATGACCAATAAATGGTAGATATTATGATCATTATGATCATCCAGGATGGAATTCTGGTAGAAATCATCAATGCTTCTATCTATCTCTGAACTTTCCCCACCAATATCTCCTCTAGACTTAGGGATAATTTTCCCATTTTCAGATTTCTTCTTAGCTGAAGAAAAGAAGTCAGCTCTCAACACTTGATACTGTTTATGACTCAGACTCCTAAAACAGGGAGTGGACAAGGAAATAAAACTCATCTTTAACAATTTTGTTTCTCATTCCCAGAGAAAAGGACTAAAAATGCAGGTCAAAGAGAAAGATGGAAACTTATTTACATATTTCCTATTTCTAGACCTCAGGACAAGTAATCAAGAAATTACAAGATCATTCAGCATTTTTTTAAACTCAGTAATTTTTTCCCCTGAAGATATAATCACAGCCTTGAATTTTTAAGTCAGATATCTACATGTCAATGATTCTCATTTAAGTCTATGATTCTAATTTGAATTTAAGAAATACCAGCAGAGGTGAGCAAAAATAGAAAAGCAGGCAGATAGCAATAAGGATGTTTATGACAGCGAGGAAGCGGCAAATGGAGATTCAAACTTTAGGCATTTTTACTTCCAAACATATACACGTTTTTTGTTTTGTTTTATTGTTTTAGCTGCATATACAGTAGGAACTCTCCTAACTAACCTCCACCTAAGTAACTCATCAGATAAATTGCTGCTCTCCTTTCCTTCTGTAAAATATGAATTTGCTCCCACAAAACACTGAGTGCCCAAAGTCTGCTTTGCTCTGTGGAAAATAAGCTAACTACGATAGAGGTGGGTTTGCTCCCAGCCAGTTTATGGCAGTTTTATTATAATTACACAATTAATAAGATATTGTGCAAATCAATAAGACACAATTGTGAATAAAGAGGTTTATTGTATCTATGAAAACTAGGTTAAATGCTTAAAAATAATAAAGGTAAGTTGTTTCCAAAAAATTGTTAATATGCTAGGTAGCACTACAAAAGACAGAATATTTGACACCATGAAAACTGGGAAGGATTTCTGTACTTGGATTATCTCAGAAATGGCTAAATTCTCTACTCATTCAAAGGAAACTGAAACCAGAAATCACTTGCAATATGCTATTTTATGGCTTACGGAAAAAAAAAAAAACACAGAAATCCAATATTCAAAGAAGCCTGGGCAATGGGTGTGGTGGCACACTCCTGTAATCCCAGCAGCAGGGGAGGCTGAGACAGGAGGATCATGAGCTCAAAGCCAGCCTCAGCAACCGCGAGGCACTGAGCAACTCAGTGAGCTTCCATCTCTAAATAAAATACAAAATAGGGCTGGGGATGTGGCTCAGTGGTTGAGCTCCCCTGAGTTCAATCTCCAGAACCAAAAAAAAAAAAGAATGTTCACTATTTACTTCATATTCTTAAAAAGAGAAAAAATAAAGACAGAAATTTCTAAGTTTTGGGTTTCTCTCTTTTAACAAATGGACTCTGGAATTTTTTTCTCTTCTGTCAGGTAGAGAGGTAGGTGCATAGAGCAAGCAAAGTAAAAACTTTGAAAAGAAAAAAATTAATCAAATTTGGAAAAAGCCTTCCTACCTTCTTGTAGGGTATAGCCCATCCCAGGAAAGAACGCCTTCTTGCCCACAATCTCAGGGCAGAGCTGGTTCTTAAGCTTGCTTCCCACAACAAAGAGCTGCAAAAAAGATTCAAGGGGGATGGCATGCTTCCAAGGAGGATATGTGGCCATCTTCTCCAGGTCCTTGCTCTCTGAGGCATGCTGGGTACCAACTGCGTAGATGGTCACCCCTGCCCTGCGTAGGTGAGAAGCGGGTCTGGACACATTGTCCTGAGAGAAACCTTCTGTGATGACCACAGCTATCTGCCGCACACCTTGGTGGGATCGGCCACCCTTCTCCTGAATGAAAACTTCATTCCTCAGGAAATCCAAAGCAGCACCGGTCTTTGTCCTTCCTCTTCTTCCCTGGTAAGTTAATTTGTCCAAATGCTCCAAGATTTTGGCTGAACTCTGAAATGTATCCAGTGAAAATTCAAGTCGTGGTTCCTCGCTGTAGAAAACCAAGGCAATTCTCACGGCATCAGGACGAATGCTTAGAGAGTTGACAGTCGTCTTGAGGAAATTGACAACTTGTTGAAAGTTGGATTGCCTAGCCCTGCTAAATTCCTCAATGAGGAATACTAAGTCAGCTGGGATAGCAGTTGGACATGCTGTAAACAACCAAAACAGAAAGAAGTGTACTTGCATGAGAGCAGAGAAATAAAGACAATATTCACATACAAAGTTATATGTATCTACTACAATAATATTTTGGTTATTATGAATTATAATAATATCCGAACTTCATGCATTTTTGCACTTTGAGTTTTTATTTTCCCCAAATTTTTATTGGTGCATTATAATTATATGTAGTAGTGGGATTCACTGTTACATTCATACATACACATGATATAACAATATGATTTGCTCAATAACATTCCCCAGTATTTCCCCTTTCCTTCCCTTCCTCCCTTCCCACTCCCTTTCCTCTATTCTACTGGTCTCCCTTTGCTTTTCATGAGACACCCCCTCTTCTTTTCCTTTTTCCTCTCTAGCTTCCACTTATAAAAGAATATATGCAACTTTTGACCTTCTGAGTTCGGCTTATTTCACTTAACATAATGCTCTCAAGTTCCATTCATTTTCCTGTGAATGACATAATTTTGTTCTTCTTTATGGCTGAGTAAAACTCCATTGAGTATATATACCATATTTTCTTTATCCATTCATTCATTGACAGACACCTAGGCTGGTTCCCCAGTGGGTATGTATGTATCCCCAGAGTGTGATGACTTTAATTCTTCAGGATAAATAATGAGGAATGATATTGCAGGGTCATTTGGTCTAGTCTTTTGGAAAACCTTCATACTGATTTCCATAGTGGTTGTACTAATTTGCCATCCTGCCAACATTCTCTCCAGCATTTATTACGGCTTGTATTCTTGAAGGCTTCCATTCTAACTGGAGTGAAATGAAATATCAGCAAGCTTTGATTTGCATTTCCCAACTTCATGCACTTTAGAATATAGTGGAAGCCTTTGTTTGACAAAGAACATCACAGGGTTCATGACTATCTCAAAATTCTCACAAGACAGTGTAGTCACATCTTTTGCAAACTATGTAAAATAAGAATATCCACAATAAAGTACTGAAGATCATTTTTCAACTTATCTAAGTGTCTTAGAAGAATTAGTCTAGACTAGTTTTTTTTTTCTTTGTTTTACTAGTTTCAAGAAGCCTTGGGACAAATTCTCTTTTATAAGTCTGAAACCTCCTCCATTTAATAATTTTTTTCCTCTCTCAATGAAAGTTGGAAATAGCAAAGTATAACTCATCTGTACACCTTTCTCTGATAACTCTCATGTTATTTCAACAGAGACGATATGAAAGATTATAGGGTCCTGTGAAAAATCTTTGTCCAGATATTGGGTTAGCTGACTGTTTTATTTTGGTAAAAAAGGACCTCCCCTTCTGCCTGCCTCAAATGGAAGAAGGAAGCATAAACTACCTGCCACACAGAATCCAGATAATGCCCTTCCTATTTAGGGCAATGTCCATTGAAGGGAAACCCACCATGTTTACATGTCAATGGGGGTCCATCTGCTTTGATACATGATAAAAGAAATCTACCAAAATGATATATGCCAAAAGCTAAAATCGGTGTATGGACAACCGAATATTGTGAAATAAGATCTAGAGAAGGTAAAACAGGGCCACGGAGTAAACTTTTGACTTTCTTTGGTCTCTTGGTGTCCTCTAATTTCCCTTATGGTATATATATATATATAAATCAACAATCAACCCTGAATTTTAAGAAAGGGTGTTGTCCCTGGTTTTGACAAATCTTGAGTACTCTCTCTAGAAACTCCAGAAGTCTCAGCTTCTCCCTTCCTTCCCCCAATGGTACCAGGTACTATTATTCTCCTTTCAAGTTGTCTCCAGGATTCATCTCTTTCATGATTATCAGAGCCATGGTTGGGCTGGTCCCAGACACTCTCCACATGTGACCAGATGACATTTCAGCTTTAAATACTTTCTGGGTCTTAGATGCCACCTAGAACCCAGCATGCCCGCCAAAGGCTCTCTTCAGGACTGCTCTTGATCATGCCACTTTTCCTGCTTAAAAGCCTCCGATTCCTTCTAGTGCCTTGGGACCCTGTAATCAGGGCACATCCTACCTAATCTAATCTCATCCCTTAAAGCTCCTAAAACCTCCCTCTGGTCCCAGTTGGTACAGTTTTTCCACTTTCTTCCACATTTACTCAGACTATTTCCACTTTCACATCCTTATCAGGAGTGAGGAACCCTTACCTGACTCTTCCCCTTACCAAAAGTGCCCCCTTCCCTTTTCCGCATATATCAAAATAACACCCTACTTAAAGGACCAGTGCAATTCCTTCCTTTTCACGTTCTCCAGGAGGCCTTCCTGTGCTCTAATTCTATTTAATGAAGTACCTATCCGCTTCTTGGCTCCTTGTTACTGTGCTGATTTATGCTCTTCTTGTCTCATATGTGTTCATAAAACTGCAAAGCTCCCAAGCTCCAGATGTTGGGAGGTCAGGGGAGAGGTATAAACAACTTCAGAAAAAGGACAGCTAGGTCCCTTTTGATGTGCAGATCAAAGAATCTTCACTAAGAGATAACTTCAGAACTGAAAGGCAAATTTTTTCTTTCTTTCTTTCTTTTTTTTTTTGGTACTAGATTAACTACAGGGCACTCAGCCACGGAGCCACATGCCCAACCCTATTTTTGTATTTTATTTAGAGACAGGATCTCACTGAGCTGCTTAACACTTCACCATTGCTGAGGCTGGCTTTGAACTCACGATCCTTTTGTCTCAGCCTCCCAAACTGCTGAGATTACAGACATGTGCCACTGTACCCAGCCTGAAAGGTAAATTTTGACTGTGGATATTCCAGGAGGAGAGTAGGATGTTCAAAGGCAGAGACAGAGGTGGGAAAGCAAGACACATACATAGCAAATAATGAATAGTTCAGTTTGGCTGGTGAGTAGAATATGTAAAAAGACTTAGAAGGAGATAAGGCCCAGTGGTTTCCAACCAATAGTGCACGTTTCCTCAGGGACATTTTGAGACTATATGAGGGTGTTTTGGATTGCGCAATAATCGGAGATGCTACTGGCAGGAATCAGGGGTGCAACACCTCAGATGATGCCCAGGAAAATCCTGTACTAGGAATGTCCTACCCAAAACACTCATAGCATCTTCCTTCAAATGCCAACCTAAGGAAAGATTTTTTAATCCCTTGGGAAAAGCCTGAATGCTTTTTAATCCTGGAAAAATGTATATGGTAACTTGTATTATTATTGTTCAGAAATATTCAATTCCACAGGGCTTGGTAGTGCACGCCTGTAATCCCAGCGGCTCCGGAGGCTGAGGCAGGAGGATCCTGAGTTCAGAGCGAGCCTCAGCAACTTAGTGAGCCCCTGAGCAACTCAGCAAGACCCTGTCTATATATAAAATATAAAAAGGGATGGACATGTGGCTCAGTGGTTAAGCACCCCCCAGGTTCAATCCCTGGTACAAAAATAAATAAATAAATAAATATTCATTTCCATGAGAAAAATATACTTTCCTATTCCACTGATGTTAACATAGTCATCTGACTTTCTTTGGCCATCGGAATGTTCATAAATGCAGAAGGAGTCTGAAAAGTACTTATGTGATTGTGTTTCTCTCTTGCACCTCTGCCATTATCATGGAAAGAATATGCTCAGACTAGCCTGATGAGCCCAGGAAGATGATGAGAGATACACGGAGAAGAGCCAAGCTTAAATGAGTCAACCCTCAGCCAAATTCCAGGTCTACAAATGAGCCCAGGTGAGATCAGCAAAGTTGTCAGTTGGGCCCAGTTAAGATCAACTGGCCCAAATCCGTGAGAATAAATCATTCTTTTTTTAACCACTGACTTTTCAAATGGTTTGTTATGCAGTGTCGTTATAGCGATCAGAGTTAATTAATACAAGATGTGTATTGGAGGCATCCCAGGCCTCCTTTTCCTATCCACAGATGTCAATACCCCACTACTAAGGAATCCAGAATGCCCCCTTTCTCTGATCCTTCCACAGATTTTCCTCTTAGAGTGTGAGACCTCCCCGTGGCTCACATAGCCAGGAACCAAGCCTTACCTACTATGGCTTCCTCCGTAGCCTGAGTCCTGAACTCTGGCTGTCCAGTCCCTTGGATCACCATACTCACATCCTGTGATAGCTGTCTGATTCCATCTTCTCCCTGCACATCATATACAAGCGCTGGGGACCCTATGCCCTCCAGTTCTCCCCTGTCAGCCTGCTGCACACCCACAGACACGACTTTCACGCCCTTCTCCCTCAGTGTCTGCGCAGCATCCCAGGCCTCGTCCTCAGATCTGCCGGAGGTGATGACCACTGCGAATTGAGGGATGCCCTGCAGAATCCGACTTCCTGCTGCCTCCTGCAGGAAGGTCTGATGAAGGTACCACAGAGCTTTGCCCGTCCTCCTGGAGCCACCTCGGGGCACAAAGCGCTCACGGATGTGAGTCATCATCTCATTCTGGGTCTTGTAGGTATTGAACAAAAACTCAGTGTGACCTTGGTCACCATACTGAGCCAGTCCAATCTGGTACCTGTCCCTGCCAACCTCCAGCATGCTAACCGTTCTGGCGATGAAATTCCGCATCCACTGGAAACTGGCCCTTGATGTTTCCTGGGAGGTGTCCACAAGAAAGACCACATCTGCATAGGCCTTGGTGTATTCTGAAAGTAAAGAAAGGAGGAAGAGGGGAAGACATAGAGGAGAGAGTGAATCAAATCAAGCTCTTGTGAAAATTTCACACAAGGATGGTTTTGTGTGGCGCATGTGAGAAGGAGCGGTGCTGCATCTACACGATGCTTATATATATTGTGCATTTCCCCCTTCTCTGTATGGATCTTGTCACAAGGCTCTCTATTTTCTGCTTTATTAGAACCTTTCCCATTGTTCTTTTTCAACCAATGGAGCAAGCATTAGAAACTGACCATTACTAAATAGTTCATCTGTATTAAAGCTTTTTATATACTATTGATTATAGTCCTCGTAGATCATTCTTCTGGGCAAGTACTATTATCTTCATTGTGCAGGTGAAGAAACTGACGAGGTGAAACTGCTGTTGATGCTCACATAACTGAAATACGGTAAATGAAAGATTAAAAAGCAGCCACTCTGGACTCAAAAACCCACGCTGTTTCCTCTGAACATGGTAGAATGTTCTTTTCTCCTTTTCTACTTATGAGAACTCCATCTATCTTTCAAATCCAACCCAGACATCTCTTCCTTTAGGAAGTCTCCCCAGATTCCTCACAGATAATAGACATTCCTTCTCCTGCCCTCCCGTGATGCCCAGAATATGTTGGCTCATATTCAAGTTAAGCGGTTTGGTTGTCATGTGAGGTTTTGACACAGTTTCTCACCTTTTATCTTACCCTCCACTGCTGAGCACAGAGTCTGAAGAAGGCTTCCTGAGAATTCCTGCAGGATGTTGAAGTTTTCCGTGTTGAAGAGAAACTTCTCATATGGCTCACTGGCTATTTTTTGTAATTCCTGGACATCCTGAACATTGACTCCTACCACATATACAATAACTCCATCTTCTTTCAACTGATCAGCTGCATCCTGGACCTCATCATTGGACTCCCCATCTGTCACCAGGATCACTATCTGAGGAACCCTGTCCTTGGCCCGGCTGCCACCCGACTCAGTCAAGTAGTTGGTCCGGATAAATTCCAAGGCACTCCCTGTGTTTGTGCCTCCTGTGCGGTAGGGAAGATTCTGGATATGTTCCAGGACCACGCTCTTCAGAGGGTACTGGTTCAGCTGAAAGGCTGGGAAGATATTGTCATTATATTGGGCGAGTGCCACCTGGACCCGGTCACTACTGATGTCAAGCCCCAAGACAATGGAGTAAAGGAAGTTCTTGACTTTCTGGAAATTCTGGGGTCCAATGCTAGTAGAGCTGTCCACTAGGAACACAATGTCTGCGAGGGCTACTTCTCTGCAAGCTGCAAAAGAGAGAGAAAAAGGCATGGGGGTCACTGGGTCTTTACTCAAAATACTTAGAATCAATGGTGCTAAGTGGTGCACAGAAAGGAATCGCAATAGCAGGCAGCTGATACTGAGTGGTCCTCAGTGTGCTCAGAGCGACATCACTTTCCTCCACTCCACAATCTTCCAGTACTTCAGACCTGCTCTACTGATAACCTCCGACATTGAAATCCACTTGGATGATCCCTTGAGTCTTATTAAAAAAGGAAAACACTTGTGTAAATTTAGCATCAGGCTGAAAAATGAAATTTCTGGTCAGAATAAGCCATCAGCCTCCTATTCTGTCACAAAAGGAAGGTGCTGGCATCAGCAGGGAAGAAAACTGGAATATGTTTCATGTTCCTTGATACATATCATCACTGTGCTACCACCTAGCAATTTTGTGACCTGTTTATCACTAAGACTTAATTTTCTACTCTGAAATTTTTGTAGTAGACCTCAGACTCTTATGGGATTGTTTGGAGGATAAAATAAGATAGTCTACAATAGTAGACAATATCTGTGCTCCTCCCAGTTCCTTGTGGATTACTTTTACTATTTCTGTACACTGCTCTTTGGAAGGTTCCCTCCAGCCTTTGGAACTTCTTCACTCACAAATTAAATTTAGAAAAAAAAATGCCAGATCTTTGCTTGACCCAGATTCAGGGTCAATACACCTCTGAGGCATCATCTACATTTTTGAGTTCCCCTCCAGTATCAGGTTGAAACTGCTCTTTATGAAACTTTTGCCTGAGATCACACCCTTCCTTACATTCTTCTATTTCTCTGTTCCCCCAAACCCAGTATCCTTGCTTGTGACACACCACATGTATCCAAATCCTTGTCTCAGGCTCTACTTCTGAGAACACTACCTCACACACCTGCTGTAAAAGACCTGGGATTGATTAAAAGACCTAGCTCTGTCCTGCATGTTTTGTGCTACCCTTTGGCCTGTTTTCTCATTTGAAAAATGCAAATAATGATACTCATTACCTACATATCCAACAAAGTTGGGATGATGGATCAGTCAGATGAGCAAAATAAACAAGTTTTGAAAACTACAGAGCACCAAGCAAATGGTAGTTATTATTAATATGTTTACAAAACCTCTTTGTAAACCTTAAAGTACTATAGAAAAGTAAGACATATAATATTTATTTGGTCATGCAAATGCAGAGCTACAACCTCATACTGCTGCATCAAAGGGTCCAAAGTGTCACCTACTCTATACAAAATACCAAAATAATGAATAAATAAGGAAGGCTCCTTTCTCTTGTGGCTGTTGATGGAACACACAAGCAATTTTCTCTTTCTCTGCTCAAAGTATAATAAAGCAAAGTATGCTTTATTATGGAGCTACAACCTAATAAAGCATAATTTGCTTTATTATACACCTTGGTAATTAACTTATAAAGAATTTTCGCCAGCTTATGTCCCATCTCCAATAGAAGTACAAAGTAGATGAAAGGTACATCATCAACACAGATAATGACAGGTAGTACTAGGAAATGCTTATGGGCACTTCTGGTTGCCTATACACCGTGCTAAACACTTTTCTTGCACAATTTTGTTTAATGCTTTCAATAACTCTCTAAGACAGAAAGTTTCATCCCAGGAAGAAAATTTAGATTCAAAGAGATTAAGTTACTTGTCCAAGATAACACACTTAGAAAATAGAGAACTAGCCAGGCATGATGATGCACACCTCAGGAGACTGAAGCAGGAGGACTGTAAGTTCAAGTTCAGTCTCAGCAACTCAACAAGATGCTGTCTCAAAATTAAAATACAAATAAATAAAAAGGACTGAGGATATAACTCAGTGGTAAAACATCCTGGGTTCAATCTCTACTTTAAAAAAAAAAAAAAAGGTAGAATTCGGAGAACTAGAATTTGAACCCAGATCTTTCCTTTCCCTAATTTTTTTTCTCTTAGCCAGTATGTTATACCAAACCCTGGCAGTGAAATAAGCACACTTTCTGGGAAAACTCTCCTATTCTGCACTCACATCCAGACAATATGGGTAAGTTAAGCTAAGAATAACAGTTTCATTCTAGAATCAAATAATACTACATCCTTATGTCAATATACTAATGACAATGAAATTTTAATTTCAAAATTAAACATGCACACATATGGAAAATAAGAAGAGTAGGAGAGATGAATAAGAGCTAAGAGTTTTGAGTTTTGTGACATTCAAATTAAAAAAAAAAAAAAAGGAGGGAGAAGTTTGTGTACCTGGAGATACAGGGTCAACAGGTTGAGCTGCCTTTGCCAAAGTATCACACAGCTCAAGCCGCAGCTTCTGGGCAAGACTGATCAGGCCAGAGACTCTGGGAACAAAGGAGGTAAACTTCTCCTTGGGACTACTTGCAATCTCCCTGAGCTCTGCCCGAGCTGCATTTCCAATGCCAACTGCATAAAGTAGGATGCCTGCCTTCCTAAATGCCTCAGCAGGTTCACGAATATGGTCCTCAGCCTGGCCACTGCTGACGACCATGGCGACCTGGGGCACCCCTTGGCTTGCACGGCTCCCGGCTCCCTCCTGGAAGTGGTGATCCAGAAGGAACTGCAAAGCCAGGCCCAACTTGTTTCCCCCAGACTTAAATTGAAGCCTCTGAATGTGTCTCCACACATCGACTTTGCGGTGATAGGTGGAAAGCAGGAACTCTGAGTGGGGTGCATCGCTGTACTGGGCCAGACCCACCCGGATGGTCTCTCTGCTGACATTAAAGCTGTTAACCAGGATGTTCAGGAAGTTCCGCACACTGCGGGCATGTTGGGGGTTGATGCTGGCGTCCACCAGAAATACCACATCTCCCACAGAGGCCTTCCTGCAGACTGAGAAAGAGATGCTTTAAGATAAAATGTTATAAATTGACATCTACTGGCTGGAAATCCATCTCTCCCAATGCAGTGCCTCACCCCCCCACAGGTCCAATGGATGCCGGTATGCATACAGCCCGAGATACACAATCATCTCTTCTGATTCCTTGTAGCTGCCCATCCAGTCCCCTGCCACCCTCTGTTCCTTTCTGACAGACATTTGACCCTTCAATCAGATTCCTTTTCCTGGCTCTCCACACATCCCTTGAACTTAATAAAAAAAATTAAACATAAAAATAAAAATAACAGCTTTCTAAGAGTAGTGGGCACTGCTGGTGCCCACCTAGATCCTCTTTATTGGCTGGCACACCTATTCTCCGAGCTGCTGCCAGGGCTACAGCTAACTGCCCACATCCATATTGAGAAGAAAGGAAGGAGGGAGGGCGGGAAGGGAGAGCACTTACAAGGTTGGAAATCTTGAACAATGAAAACACAGGAATCAAAATTTTAGAGCTGAAAATAATCCTGTGAGATTATCCATGCAATGTTTGCAGCCACAAGGCACATGTGACCACTGAGCACTTAAAATACTGCTAGTATGAGCAAGAAACTAAATTTTACATTTTACTTCATTTTAATTTGTTTTAATTTAAGCAGTCAATGCAGCTAATAGTCACTGCATTGGACAGCACAAGCATAGAATAAGGAATCTAATTTTCCCAAGTCACAAAGAAGGAAAATAAGACCTGAAAAGGAAAAACTCAACTGTAAATCCAAAGAGCTAGATAGAAGCCAGGTCTCCTAACATCTAGTCCATATCCTGAAAGTTAAATTAAAAATCCATGTTTCAGGAGTTGGGGTTGTGGCTCAGTGGTAGAGCACTTGCCTAAAACATGCTCTAGGCATAAAAATAAATAAATAAAATAAAGGTATTATGTCCATCTAAAATATATCAAAAAATATCCACGTTTCAAACTAGTAATGTTGGCACACGCCTGCAATCCCAGTCAATGTGGGAGAATTGGGAGACTGAGGCAAGAGGATCAAAAGTTTAAGGTCAGACTCAGCAACTTAGGGACACCCTGTCTCAAAACAAAAAGGTCTGAGAATGTAGCTCAGTAGTGGAGCATTTGCCTAGCAATTGCAAGGCCCTGGGTTCAATCCTCAGAACCAAAGCAGGGGTGGGGTAATTCATGTTTTAGAAAAGTAAAGACCAAGTGAGAGCTTAGACAGAGAAGGAATGGAGGAAGTTGGTCTAATCCAATCCAGAGACAATAATCCACCTGTCACTTCTGGAGAATTAAGCTTTGACCCTTCAATCAGATTCCTTTGCAATCTTGTTGGGAAAAAATAACTCAATGACTGTTCCAGGGCTGGCTTACTGGTTTGTCCCTGAGACAACTCTTTCAGGATCAGTCAAATGCAGGCTATGAAGTGTTTCCCTGGCCTCTCCAAGCAGAAGAAATCTCCCAGCTGTAGGAATATTTCTCAGACAAGTATTGGTTCCATCATGTGCAACTACCAGGAGGATTACATTTCCATATCTCGTAACTTTCTTAAGCCCTCCATTAGTTCTTTGTAGTTTTAGGATTTTGAAACATTATAAGACGACTATCACCACTTGTGTTCACAGGGATGGGAGCCAGGGCCAAAGGGAAAATTTAGAGAGCTTCATGTTTTTTTTTTCCCCCCAACAAATAACAGTCTATGTAATTATATTTGAATATTTAAATCTCATAATGTCTCACAGGGGCTTCAGGCTATTCAAACAATCTTCTCTTGATATGACTTTCATCTTGAAAGTCTCAACACTGTTAAAATGACTACAAAAAATTGTAGCAGTGTCACCAGTTTTCAGTGAAGCTATCCATCTCATGATGACAATTATCCCCTTGGAACAGCTCTGCCATAGAAACAAAGCAGAATGCAGAACAGGCCCTTTTTACAAAAGCACTTCAGAGCCTGATAATACATTCTGAAGTATAGCACTTTTAATATCCCTTTTTTGTCACTTGAGATTAAGTATTGAAAAAAAAAAATCAAGTACCCATCGTTTACCAAAAGCTCCCAGATTCTGACTAAATTCTCCTTCAATGAATTGATTCCCCTTTTCTAAGTATGAAGGTCCTAAAATATTTTCTAAGATTATCAGGAACACCAGGTTCCTGGCAAGGTAATCATTTGATCTTAAAGAATCCCATGCATTACCAATGTTCTGTGTTCTGATGAAGTCAAAACTAGCTGCAAGAAAGATGGTGACCAAAAACATCTTACAAGTCTCCATTGTAGATGCAACCCTAGAAAGAAAAAGAAACGCTGTAATTTAAAATCATGCCTTCTTACACTAAAAAGAAGTGTCTCACATTGCATGTAAATTATATCTCAATAACATTATTTTTTAAAAGAACAATTAAACCAAGGCCAAATGTTTTCTTTGATATGTGGATGTTGACTCCTAATGGCGATTGGTGGGTGGGAAAATGGGAGGAATGGATGAACTTTAGATAGGGCAAAGGGAGGGAGGGGAAAGAAGGGAAAAGCAGGTAGGAATGATGATGGAATGAGTTAGACATCATTACCCTAAGTACGAATGGTGTGAAAATATTTTGTGTACAATCAGTGTCTTGAAAAAATGTGTTCTATATGTGCAATATGAAATGAATTGCATTCTGCCGTCATGTATAACAAATTAGAATAAATAAAAGAAAAAAAAGAACAATTAAACCCCAGAACAACAGAAGCTTTTTGAGAATAAAGGAAGCTGGATACAATGGCACGTGCCTATAATCCCCATGGTTTGAAAGGCTGAGGTAGGAGGATCAYGAGTTCAAAACCAGCCTCAGTAACTTAGTGAGGCACATAGCAAGACAGCAAAACCCTATCTCTAAACAAAATATAAAAAAGGGCTGGGGACATGGCTCAGTGGTCGAGTGTCCCTGAGTTCAATCTCTGGTACCCCCCCCCAAAAAAAAAACTAAAATAAAATATAAAAAGAATGGACTAGAAATTAGCTCACTGGTAAAATGCCCTGGGATTCAATCCTTTGTACCAAAAATAAATAAATAAGGAGGAAATGTTGCCACTTTGTTTCAGTTGTGCAAGGAATCTGGTCTTGTTGATCTGACTCAGGAAGAATTCTGTAAACACCCACAGTGTACACCTCAGACTTGTCTATTGAAAGTTGTCCAGATGTGGCTATAAAAGGAGAAAGCATACAGGGCATGGGATACAACTTCTGTTTCACACGCTGAATTCACTTGGTGGAACATAAACATGTCTCAATGATTTTGCTTGCATTTTTATACAAGAGTTTGATGACCCGATAAACATTTGTAGCATGCAAAAAATATTCAAATATCTCAGGAGCACATCTGCCTGATTAAATCAGCACAGCCCAAAAACATTTTATAGACTCCCAACAGAAGCAGAACATGACCACCCTTTCCCCTAAGTGAATTCATATCCAAAGCACACATTAAAATCATCTGTTCTGGATTCTATTTCTACTTTTTCACTCTACAAAAGTAACTTTGTTTAAAAATAAAAAAAAAAAACATAGTAGTCACATTGAACGAGGGGTCCAAGTGGGCAGAGGATACTTCATCTTTTCATTCTTAGCCATCCAGTTGCACAGACAGAACTCTTGGAGAGAAACTACCTGTAATTGAGCCTCAGATCCACTACTCAATAATGGTTCTTGGGCAAATTGCTTCACTTCTCTGTGCCTCAGTTTCCCCAAATACACCTACCTCGTGGTGTCATCAGGATTCAGTGAGTTCATTAATACTTAACCCAGGCCTGTTTGTTTAACAAACAAAAGAGGAAGAACTCTTTTGTTTGTTAAATAATATAATAATCTTCAAGAACTTCATGATATAAAATTTAAAAAGAATTTTCCCTAACTTGAAACTCAAGAGTCTGTAGAAATAGAGGAACTGATATTTGCCTAAGTATTAATGAAATAATTTTTGCATAATTTGTATGATTTGATTTAATTCATTCACTTAATTTTTTGCTCTCAGTTGTTTGCTGTTTTGTAAGTTACTCTGCTAATATCTTCATATTTCTCACCTCAAACCTGGAAGAAGCCAGCAGATCAGGCATTACTGTGCTCATTTTGTTGATGGAATTAGAAGAAATTGGGTGCAAGAAAGGTTAAGGAGCATACCAGAACTACACAGCTATGGGCTGTCAAGACCTGCCCACACACCCCAGGTGACTTGATTACAGGTCCAGTGCCTGAATGGACATCAAACATCTGCTTCAGACCCTTCAGTGAAAATCTTCAAGTCAAGACTTGTCATTCAACTTTGGAGTCTACTTTATGTCAAATAAAGACCTGGGAGAAATTTAGCCTGGATTAAAAATGTAAACTGAAGACCCAAGTTCCTTTATCAGTTAGATCTAAAAGGAGCGACATTTTTATCCAAACTCTGTGTTAGGTACTGCAGGGAATAGAATTCTAAATGGCTCATTTATGCTTACAGCACTGAATGATATAATTGGGAAGAAAAATTTTACTATATCAGAAACAATTTTAAAAATTGGTAAATGTTAAAGAACATTTCTTTAAACATATCAAAGAATTTAAGCAAGAATCTCTATAGTATCCACATCCATTTCAGTCTTGGGATCTCCAGATGGAATATTATGTGGAAATAACCATCACTGTGCCCAGAAATACCAGATATCCAACAACTGAGTTCCACTTTCCACAAAGTGGTATGGCTGCCCTGCTTCCCTAAAGACCCGGATTACTGTTCATGCTCAATTTACTCCTTAAGAATGATTCAAAGATACGAGGCAACCACATCTTTTTCATTGTTTATAGCCCTCACAAAAAAAAAAAAAAAAATAGAGTGAAAAGACTTGACTTCAAAGACAGCCCTTAGGCTTTGGCTCTGGCTTCAGCCTGGCCATTTGCTCTGTAAATTTGAACAAGCCATTTCATCTTTCAGGGTTTATGTGATGGCTCTTGAAGTCTTACAGTTGATTTGAGCAACCAACTCTATTGACTACTATGTTATAAACATTCCCCCAAAGGGCTGGCCCAGTGATTTTCCAATGAACAAATATGATACAGTTAGACTTCTCTGTTCCTCAGTGTTTTGTCTGTGTATGTGTTTGTTTGAGGTATTTAGGGATCAAACCCAAGGCCTCCCACTTTCAAGGCAAGTACTCTGCCTCTGAGCTACATCCCCAGCCCTTTTGGTGTTTTTAGTTTGTGTGTTGTTTTGTTTTGTTTTGTTTTTAATTCGGAGACAGGGTCTCACTAAATTTGCCCAAGCTAGCCTCGAATTTGCAATCCTAGCTCAACCTCTTGTATAACTGGGATTACAGGCAAGTAGACACTGTGCTCAGCTTCCGCTCCTCATTTTCGACATAATCCTCCCCTTAACACCTTCTCTGGAAGGCAGATAAGTAATTTAAGGGAAGATATTTTAAAACTTTCAATATCCAATCCTTGGCCAGGCGCAGTGGCACACACCTGTAATTCCAGCAGTTCCAGAGGATCAGGAGTTCAAAGCTAGCCTCAGCAACAGTGAGGTTCTAAGCAATTCAGTGAAACCATGTCTCTTAATAAAATACAAAATAAGGCTGGGGATATGGCTCATGGTTGAGTGCCCCTGAGTTCAATCCCAAGTACCCCCCCMAAAAAAAAAATCTAGTCCTCTCCTGACATGGTGGCACACACATGTGATCCCAGGAACTCAGAAGGCTGAGGAAAGGAGGATCACAAATTCAAGGCCAGCCTGGACAATTTAGTGAGGCCCTAAGCAACTTTAGTGAAACCTTGTCTCAAAATAAACAAATCAAAAGGACTCGGGGTATAGTTCAGCAGTAAGCACCCTGGGTTCAAGCCCAGCACCAAATATAAATAAATATTCAATCCCCAATAAATTTTCACCTCATGGTAAATAAATTATTATATGCCTCTTGAATAACAAACTGTTCTAGTGAATTAAGGACTCTTTGAGGGTACTGATCTTGGGAGTTTGAAAGTGCCGAGAAAAGTGATCCAAAATAAATTCATGCACCATCATTATTTTTTTATTGTAATAAATTTTTGAAAAACTCAGGATAATAAAGTTAAATAAACCAAATACACTCGTATAATCCCAGCAACTCAGGAGTCTGAGACAGGAGAATCACAAGTTCAAGGCCAGCCTGGTCAGCTTAGTAAGAGCCTATCTCAAAATAAAAAAAATAAATAAATAAAAAGAACTGAGGATATAGCTCAGTGGTTAAGCACTGAGTTCAATCCCTGGTACTAAAAAAAAAAAAAAAAGAAAAGAAAGAAAGAAAGAAAGAGAAAAAAGAAAAAAGAGGGAGAGAGATACTCTGGTACATTATGTGACAAAGGGCTTCAATGCCAGCCATGTATTCTTAAATGTACAGAAAAATTTATAATAATTCATAGAGAAAGTGAGAGAGAGAAACACAGCATTGAAATATTCTTGCAACTTTTTTACTCAGTGTTTATTGTTTACCACACAATATGTCAGGCACCAATTAAAAGAAACCATGTTTTTTACCTCAGCAAATTCAGAGTCCAATGGAGAAAGGGATAAATTGCAATATTGTGGGAGGAGCAGAATGATAGAGAAATCTTTGCAAGGTGCAGAGAAACAAGGTGTGTGAGCGTCTCTCTTCACCTGAATGATGAATTCGCAGAGCAGATGATGCTGGAGGTAAGATTTGAAGGATGAGCAGAAATTTGCAGGTGAGAACTAGGGATGTGGTAGAGTGCTTGCCTAGCATGCCTGAAGCACTGGGATCAATCCCCTGCACCACTACAAAAAGAAAAGAAATTTGCTGGAGAGCAGTCAGAGAAAGGAAGTTCCAGACAAAGAGCATGTGCAGGGACATTAGAGAGACACTAGATGGCCCTGAGAGAGCCTGCTTAATCACAGCCTCAGGACCTAAGGTTGTGAAGAGGTGGGACATTTGTGACGCCATCATCGGCGCTCCCACATCTGTACTATCTAAACTCTTAGGACATTGTCGGTCTCTGAGAGACTTTTGGTTTTCTAAAATTCCTAAGTCCAGAAGGTGGGCTAGAAGAGGGAACCCAGGCAGAATTTTTCAGTCTTCAACCATAAACCTTAACTTCATTCATTTAAATCAGCAATGTTTTTTATGCCAAGCACCTTCAAGGTTTTTGTTCTCCCTCTGTGAACTCAGCTATAAAATGAAAATCCTCCACCTCTAATGTTCTGTGTCAGTGGCTTTTAAGCTTGAGTGTTGCACCAGGCATGTTGGCACAAACATTCTTCTATGCACTT